AGTCTTTAAAATGCTGATATATACTAGTTGAACATAGACGTGAATTTGTGACGCTTTTATTATTTATAATAATTAAATATTTCTAGTAATGAAACCAAGGATTCCTCAAAAGCTCACTAGGCACTGTAGCTCGCAAGCCTGAGGAAACCTGTAGAGAGGAGACAATGAGAAGAAATTACAGTTTTAGATGTGGGAGGAAAACCAAAGAAGAATATTCTGAGGAAAACCCACGGAATCAGGTAGGGACTGAAAACCCAATTCACATATTGGCCCAGGCGGGATTCGAACCCGGGTCACAGCAGTGGGAGGCAAGGAAAGTACCGCTACGCCAACCTTCGATATTTTACCAGGACAAGAACTCGCTCTACGATGTTACAAAAGTCGGACACATAATTTACCTCTTCGCCTCGCAATCCCATTCGCGTGAAATATTGACCGATCTTAATTGGTTTGGTTCTTGGTTCTCGATTCTTAGGTTGGTTCTTCTCCTAAATACTCCACGTGGGAGTTTACACAAGAGGCCAGAAACACCGGGGCAAACCCCTTCTCTTAGTGATAAGTGTTACTGGGTTCTTTAACGTGCATTACACAACACACAGGACCTACGGCTTTACGTCCCATCCGAAGGACAAGCAATAATGGTTAAGTGCCTTGCTTAAGAGCACAAGTGTCTCGAACCCACGTCACTGTTGCCTCTGAAACACCAGAACATGAGTCCGGTGCTCTTAACCGCTAGGCCATGACACTCCATGAGTAATTGAGGTTAATGTGCTGTTCAATAGCGAACGCCACTTAGGCCAGTAAATCACTGGCAGAGAACGCCGACATCGAGTCGCAAATTGAATTGTTCGTTACCGTCATATTTATATGTCACTGAGGTATGTCAAGCCAGGTTAAAAATGTAATCTCTTCTTAAAAAAAAAAAAAACCAACAACATAATACAGCTGCGACGTAACGAGTTCTATCGAATTTCCCAATGGAAATACCGAAGCTGGAGCGTGTCAGGAAATACATTCATTTCAAAAGATCTTACGGTGGCGATAATGAGAAGCATGCCCCATCGCTACCGGGCCAACATTCTTACCAGAGTCCCAGGATGAAAGCGCAGGGAGATTTAAGATCAGTAGGGGCCAAACCTGGTTCTATGGAGTCATTCTTTGGAGTGATTAGTTCATGTTTTTCTCCAGCTAGACATATTTTGGCGAGGAAACAAGTCTTGACATCTACCAACGACGTCAGCTCCTAGGCACCTGGTAGTGTCGATTCGCTTGGGACGTAGCGAATCACGAACGCACGTGTTTGGTTACATGCGATATGTAGACAACCTAAATATGGCCCAATGGTTTGTCCATGAACAGTGATAGATTGATCACCAACAGCAATATATTTCTGAATCTCCAGCAAATAAGAATATTATTCCTTTGAGACAGTCCGACACAACTGACAATGAAGGAAGAATATTTGGAGACCTCAGGTTAACTCATATCAATAAAAAAAGGCGTTTGATTTAGTGTGAGCATATCGCCTTAGATCATTCAAGATTTGTAAAGACTTTAAGAACTTTTGACACGAATAAACGTCAGTCGTCCCGTTTTGGGGGTTCAATTCGTGTTTTTTCTTCAAATACCTGGAAACTTTGTTCATAAATTGCCTGAAATTTATTGTCTTTGAAATGACATACAGTGCTATGGCGACAGACATCACACCAGTCACACAAAAAAAGAAAAAACAAACAAACATTTCTTTATAAACAAAACTGTTAATTTGTAATTAAATATTTATACAACCATCGGTTGAAATAGTACATGATAACCAAACATATACTACCAAACCAAACGACGATATATATTGTCTACAACAAGAAGCTTAATAACAATTAAGTTAATTAATTAAGTTAACCTAAAATAATTTCTGATGTAATTTCTTTTGTTCTGTACCTTGTGTAACTAATCGTCAATTCGTGTGCATAAGAGATTTACTCCAAATCCTTATCTAACACGTAGACACATTTCAATTTATTTTCTGCTCTGTCTTTGTGAGCTGTTCTCTTCTATCCCACCTCCTCAGAGAAAACAAAGTGCCCTCTCCAGAGCCCCAGCTATGTCAAAACTCGACCTCTGAAGTTGAGAAGTGTCACGGATACTCCTTACTTCCCCAGGTGAAGTGACTTACATGCCAACGTCGCCAATGCATCGCGCGCGCGTGGACCAACATCCTCCCGAGTTGTACACTTATTTGTTCAAACCGGCACGCGTCATCGCAAAGACACAGTCACAAAGTCTGGTCAGAAGTCATGTGTTCGTGGAAAATTGATTTCTTTTTGGTCTCTTGCCAGCACCTTTCAGGTGGGCTCCGCTAATAGCCTGCCGCATTCGGACAGGACAGCTGCGTTCGAGAGGCCTTTCATTGTTGCTGAGTATCGTGTTTCCACCGTGCGTGCCCGCCCTTTGCAGTGAGCCAGAAGTCAAGAAGTCCCACAGCTCCTCGCTTTTGCGAGCGCAGCAATGGTTGATGTCTCCAGGGCTGGTGGTTTCTCATCTCCTGATGATGGCCAACAGCCACACTATTGTGACGACAGCACCGCTGAGGGTTTGCATTTCTCTTCATCGACTGCCGTTTGACAAAGTGCTCTTCCATTCCTACACTTGAATTAAATCTATACATCTTATGAGCAGAGATCTAGCCACTGTCAGGGAGCAGTTTTTCCAAGTGAACCGCCAAAAAAAAAGTTCCCTGCGTATATGACTGTTTGACTAGAGTTTGTCAACACCTGTTGCATAAGCGATATAGGCGTCATCTTTCCAGACATACGTTCTTGACATTGAATTTGATCTAGCTTTCGGGAAACCGGCTGATATAAAGGGCCAGGGGTTGAGTCTAAGGCATGCCTTAGTCACGTCCTGCTAGGGGGTCTCATCCGGGAGATGCACCCGTAAAAAGTTTTGAAATCTACGATGATTTTTCTAGCATTCTAAGGCAATTCAGGAATAAATATACGAACTTTAGTATGACATTTACTTTTTTTGGCCCCAATTTACTAGTTTCAAAACATTGGATCGCTTTATATACTGTTCATGCAATGCACAACAAATATATACGTACATTTAATCACTCACTTCGCTGGCACATATACTCTTAGGAAACATCGATGACGTCATGGACGACTATTTCTTGCTCACAGTATTTATCGCTCATCGGAAACACAATGAGGAGCTCAAAATTAAGGCCTTGATTATAGATCAGCTTGTGTTGTAAGTAGTTTAAAAGGTTTCGTCCTCATATTTATTACTCCTGCTCATCATGCCAATATAGCATTTCGCAGTCCATCAGGAGTTTCTGAAGCTCAGTGTCATTTTGATACGGATACCACATTGAAACCCACTAGCCAACGTCATCCCCAGTCGTAAATCGTATCCCTAGAAAAGCAATTAGTGACACATAAAAATGGTGGTGCCCCAAGACATGTAGCCTTCGCTCTCCCCATTAAGGCAGAGGCAGTCCACATCCAAGACAAGTTTTCAGTCCTGTTCAAGCTGCACAAATTCCATTATTTCGGTGTTCAGAATTTCTCGCATACTAAAAATGGTCCCTGTTAATTAAAGCTTCATGTACGCTCGAGTAAGCGTGATGAAGCCCATAAATTGCTTCCATGCTCGAGTGAGGAAACTAAACAAAATGCTTCACAATGCATCTTATAATCACCAACGATATTCGGATATTGCTATTTGGGGCGGGAAATCATGTTCCGGTATTGCTTTTCTTTTCCTTCTGAGCATTAGTAGTTATAGTACCTCGTTTGAACATAGCGCCAGTGCCACAACGTGTAAAGCAGTCTTGTCAAAGAAAATCTAGAGTTTGATTTTTGCATCAAATTAAGAACAGACGACAAAAATATCACAAATATGTTTATTACCGTGAGACAATTAACTTTATCTAAATTTGTACTTTAAATGTGTTAATCGAGGTGTTAATTTGTTGTGACATGCACCAGTGACAGTTAATATCTTTTGGGAGCTTGTGGTTTTCTCGGAGTTCGTGTGGTTATTAAGACGGTTTGCTCTGCCCGAACGTCGTCAGGGGACGAAGTTGAAAAGGATACGTACGCTACAGACGCCAGTAAAAGAAATCACTATTCATGAGAAGTAATCGAAAGTTTCCTTTTGGGGTGTCAATCACGTGCTGTGTGTCAGGAAAACAGCTGCGTTATTGGCTTTGGTCAGTTGTGGATATCTGAGCAGGAAATTTAAAACGTGTCTTGGCGCCAAAACAAACCGCTTGGCTGCAATTGGCGGGAGAGCCAAATATCAATGGCGCTATTGTACTTCCTGGGTTTGTCGAAGGTTCACATTACACTTGTCTTTGGTACTCAGTCTCAAAACTCAAAGCACCTGCAAATTGGAAGAACAGAACCCTGAAATTAGACATCGTCACACCTACTGTTTTTTTCCTGTTCCAATCCTGTCCTTGCTATGCGCGTTATTATTTTTTTTAAAGGTATTTCCCCTTCAACGTAAAAGACTTAATTCATACAAGCCGAGTGTTAATGAAACAACCAAAAACACTAATTTTCTGTTGAGTGTGTTACAGAAATAGTATGTCTCAGTTAAAATTTAGCTGGTATGGATAAGAAGGTCCAAAAAGTGAGACAATCAGAAGAGAAAAACACGAAGACATCACAGCCGAAGAAAGAACAGTGTACATAATGTTTCCTTAAACCTGCGAGGAATTTGCAAACCTCTCTGATGAGGAAACGGTTTGGGTTTTGAATTGCTGGGATAATAATTCAAGTTGGTATAAATTTGATTTGCTTTGTAGGCAAGAAAGGCCGAATTTTCTTGGCAAACAGGCGCCACCCAACTACACTTAAGCAAGGCAGGAATGAAGCAGAACGGCGTGGCACCGACAAAATATTAGTTCCACTCCCTGAGTGAACCTGATCACTTAAACCAACTCTAATGGAATTAATTATACTCCATTTTTTGTATTCGTTTCTCAGATATGAAAGATAACTGCACACTGTCAGCTGGTCACCTGCAGAGATAGGTGATATCTGTCATCAGTCCCAGGTCTGTATTGTGTGATCTGTCCAAACATGGATGCCTCATTCGTTCAGGATTTATCGAACATGTCTTACGACTATGACGCCGACTGCACCAACAGCTCATGCGTGGAGCAGAGACCCCTGGCAGGTCCGATTGGGGTTGCCCTGTTAAGTGTGATCGGTTTGGTGGGCAATCTGAGCATAATTTATTTGGTGCTGCGATACAAGAAACTCCGGAATCCGCCCAACATCCTTATCATTAATCTGACGGTCGGGGATCTCCTGTACATCCTCAGTGCTGCCACCTTCTTCATTGAGAAAGAGATCTCTCCAAGCTGGGAGGCGGGTCTCTTTACTTGTAAGATGAAGGCGTACGTGGAGGATGTGGGTCAGAGCATGTGTGTCTTCTCCTTGGCGGCGCTCAGCCGAGAGAGGTACTTGGCTATTGTCTGTGGGATTGAGAACCGTCGGAGAAGGGGTTCCTGCTCGGCTAACAGTCTCTGTGCTGTGGCTGTAGTCCTTACCGCCTCTTTGCTGCTTGGCATTCCCTCCCTGGTCATTGCAAGCAAGCTCAGCAGCACACATTGCAGTCAGTTCCCCGAGCACGAGGCCTCTAAGAAGGCCTTCGTCACTCTGAGGTCCGTATTAGGTTACGCGTTACCTCTCGGCATCGTGAGCTTCTACTACGTCCGCATTGCGCACTCGCTGTATCAAAGCGTGGAGCAGTTCGACTACACGGAGAGCCACGCGCAGCAGAGTCGGTTACGAAAGCGCCTGGCTGGTATTGTCCTGCTCATCACGGTGCTGTTTGCTATCCTATGGCTGCCGCATTTCGTCCATCTTCACGTCAGGGCTTACACGTCCCCCGAGGTGATTCCCCTTCTCCCCTACCCGTCTTACATAGACTACCTGAGGATCATTGGCTTTCTGATGGCTTTGACGAACTCCTGCACAAACCCTTGGATTGTCTTCGTCATGAGCTCCACCTATCGTCAGCACTGCTGCCTCTTCCGATCCCTGTGCAACAGGCAGCGTTTTCATCGTGGTAGTCAGGGTACCATGCGGCTTACAACTCTCACAGGGACGACACGACGGACCAGCGCGAACGTCTCGCAGATGTCCCACGTATAGCCAAGGCTTGTTTTTCCTATCGAGCCACTACATGGTAACTTAAAGTGTAACACTTGATGTCTCTGTATAGATTAATGACCTAATCCATGGCATAATCGTAGGACTTGTTTTCTTAGGCAAGACACTTTGTCACGGTAATTGTGTCATAATAGTCCACAACTATTATAGTGTAGGGCTCGCTGGGTGTGTGAATAGACGGATAACGCGAAGATTGATCAGAGTATTATGTACACTTATATTCAATGGGCTGGAACTGAAATGAAGATAAGATTGATGATTCACAGGTGTAACGATCATGTAGGCTAAATTAAGCCCCGGGCACCTTGTTCTTGACTGTCTTCAAATTAATATTTTATTGACAAAGAGTACTTATATATAGTTAATAATAATGTACGTCTTGCTAAATAAATACTTGCGTTTTGCGTTAATGAAATTCAGCCTCGTTACATCTTCAGTCGAATCGTAAATCACCCAGCTTAAGAGGCTTAACATCATACTGTTATTCGGCCATTTCTGCTGGCTATAGAGACAAGTGAATGTAAATATAAATTGAAGCAGGTGTTTTTAAAGAGAGTTATTATATATGAAATACTGTATGTATATATTGATGCACACATTCAAATGTAAATGTTGAAATTATTATTGTTTATGACGTGATATTGGAATGTATTGTACACCTGTACACATTATGAATGTTGAAATCATATTTGAGGACTGGAAAAGTGTAAAGTGTTTGTTTGGTCTACATCTCACCCTATTATGTTTTGTAAATGAAAATGTGATCAGTATTACCACTTTATACAGACGTTATATCACCACAACTGCATTAAGTTTAAATGATAATCGATGAATCTTTCGTACAAAACTTTGATTGGTACAGGCGCATGAGAAAAAAACAAAAAATCCAAAAGCATTACTTTAATTAAACAACGTGGGCTGAAGTATGTAATAACATGTTTGTGATCTGAAGTGACAAATCAGAGCGCTAAAAAAGTGAATTTGTTTAAGCCTCGAACCTATAACAGCGTGGGTTACATTTCGAGCTGTTTCTGCCACAATGCTTCGTGCCATAACGACAGCGGTGTCCCGTAAACGCGCAACGACGGACGCGCTCGATCGAATTTGCATAATCACCTGGTCCGATTCCTGGCCTTTACTGGAGCGATAGTCGACGGCTGTTTCCTGTGCAAGCTCAAGCTTGACCCAACCCTTAACTTGCATCAACTGGGGGGGGGGGGGGTTGCCCGGTTGACTAGACTTCAATGATTGCCACTGTCAGTTTCACCAAATTGCTGGTCATATTTCTGGAATGATTAATGCACGGGAATGATTTCACTGACATATCTCCGGATGAGACTGACATTTTCGTCGGTATTTTTGGCCCAAGCCAATTATTGGAACTCATCCATTGTGACATTATCGCGTCAACATTTTCGTTGGACTTTGGTCCAAAAAGCATGACTTTCGTCTGGTCTACAAAAAGGGCAAGACCCAGATTAAGTTGTCAGAAGGGGACCAGAGCTTCGCCGTTTCCCCCCAGTAAATCAGTAGCTACTACCTTACCAGTAAACATGCCAAATGTATTGATATGTTAATTACAGGAGCGCGGTTTTAGTTGTCTGTCTCTCTAGCTTGTAAAAGTAGAAAATAGTGTAGATAATTACACTTGATGTTTACAACGTCAATTCACTTAGGCGGCTTGTCCGCGGGCTAATTGGCACATTTTGATTTATGCCAGTTGGCGCCATCGACGGCTGAATTGGACAATTAGTGAGCAAAGGTGGGGCGATAAAAATGCCTGCCATCTGTTGGCATTCTTTGTGTTTATTCTCTTTAATACATTGAACAGGTGGATATGTGTGAATATTCCACGGCTGCCTTTCTATACACGCGGATACCGATGGGTGTGATAAATTGTATAGGTCACGGCTTGATGAATAACAGAATAATTTAGCTTTAAGGGAAAGGTTGCAAATTGTCTCACTTTTTTAAACGGGGAAATTGGCATTTATTTCTTGCTCACGTGTATGATCGTGGACTAAGACACAAATAATTAAAATTTCAGTGTTTCGAAATGAACTCCCTTTGGCTTTTCATTATGAGCTGGAAGTTACTTAATGACAACGAGGCATGGAGAGAAATATTTTTATGGTCCCTTTAATCATTTTCAGGGATTAAGCGTCGCATAAACTCATCAGTTTTAGCAACGTACCGCGTGAACATGTGGCTAGGATGAAAGGGTAAATATTTAGAGGGTGCTATTTAGCAAACGATTGTAATGTTAGTCATAACAACAGAGGGCGCAATTGAAATCACAAGAGGGCGCTGCTAATAAGAATAATAGTACGAGTTTTTGGTCACAAATCCACTGAACCATAATAGTGCTTTTGACAAAGAGTTTCATCACCAAATGTTGCTGTCTTTGTCCCGGATATCGGAGAGATTGAAAGATCTGACGGCTAACTATCAAAGAACAAGTACTAAACATTAAATGTTTAAGTGAATTTAGTACATTTTACGCTTTATAGCTTCGAATTAATTTCTCGAAACATTTTTAAGGGAATTGTAAGCTAGAATATTTGTTTGTATTATATGCAGCCATATTGTAAAATGTTTCGAATAACTATGTTTTGTGAAGAGTGTTCAAATGTAAAAATATATATAACAAAAAGTATGAGAAATACCTGCGCTTATGACTGGAAATCACGTAAACGTTTTCACGTGTTTTTTCCGAAATACGAGTCTTTTAAACTAATTAGTTCGATCACCTGTAATTCATTATATTAAATGCACTATTATTGAACGAAAACATGAAACAGGCATGTTTAAACAAATTGCATTTTAAGGTGACAAATTCAAAAACTTGTTCAGCATTTTCTTTTATTTACAATGTCGAGTACAATGTACCATGAGCTTATGTGATATAACTATTATTGTCAAATGTGTCATTAATTTGGGTCGTATGATATAATGATCATTATGTTGGAATTATTATTCGATGAGATAATAAATATTGCTTTTCACAACTGGCGTCATCCAAGAATAATTTCATCGTAAAATCATAATGATCGTAAAATCATAATGATAAACAAAATCCTAAGACCCCTAATTTAAAATGAAATTCAAGGGCCATAATTGATACAAACTTTAATTGCTATATATACACCGTGAAAACAAGACGACATCAAGCTGTTTCTTTACAGCACAGAAACATAATATAACATTTTAGATTTCAAGTCAATTCGACTTTGTTCGATGATGATACTAAGAAGAAAACAAATTGTGAAAATATAAAAAACAAACTTAGTATTTACACATTGCCCGCAATCTATATTTATATTAAAGGGACATTACGGCCTGAAATGTTTTGGATTGTTGACTATACTATTTAAAAGGTGTAGTTGAAATGAAACTAACCTAATGTCTTACCATTCCCGAGAAAAGACGAAAAACAAAACCCGGTTGTACATCGGACACGACGGACTACGCATACGTATTTCCTGTCGTTTTCATTCAATGTACGACACACGCTGTGTGTGTCACACAAATTACACACGGTACCAATACACAAATGTTGTTTCTTACACGTCCGCAGAAGACGACCACTGTGCGGCTGGAACCACAACCGTAGCAACGAACAGCTCGATTGTGACCCCGAAATTCGTTCTCGGCATGGTTCTCGCAAGAATAACACAAAAGGCCCAGTTTTTAAAGGATGGTTGTGGACGTTTACGTTATATTTTTAAATGTTCTTTCCATTTAAAATATTTCGTTTACAACGCGTTTGGTAGCCGAATAATTAGGCATATTCCATCAGGCTGTAATGTCCTTTTAATATCAATTATGTCCAAGAAAAATACGGCTAATGCAACATACCTCTCATGGAGTCCATATCGTACGGCGATCTTTGTCGAACTTTCGTTCTTTTCCAAATACGACTCGAAAAAGCAGAACATGACCGCGCTTATTATGCTGCACCAGTGGGCAGGGATCCATGTTTTACCTCGGAAAATTGTTGTGTTGGATGACTAGTGTAAACTGTTAAATCCACAACCAACAATGTCAATTTAAACCAAATATACGATCCATCGATCACAGATTCGCAGCACTAGTGAGCTCGTACATGCAGTATACCGGGTTGCACAAAGCTGAAGGGTGGATTCTTGAACAAATTCCGTACCCAAAAAGAGTTTTTGTGTGACTGTGTGGATTTAAAGCGAGCAGTCATGGAGCAGTCGGTCAAGCATGACACTTATTCAGACCTTCCTCATTCCATTCATTGTGAAGAAGCTTAAACTAACGCTTACAATTACTGACTTTTTTCTGTAAATAGCTATTCTGTATTCTGTAGATGAGTACAATTACAGAGTTGGAAAACGAAGCATCTTAAACGCAATGAGGGCGCCAAACACCAATGAGGTCAATACCAATAGATCGAAATGAAAAACGATTTCCATAATGTGCACCAGTCTACAAAAATACTTAAACGTAATTCGTTTAAAAGCTATACACAATCTCTGTGTGGTATGCTTTGGGTTCCTCTCAGCATTACATATCTTTTAAAAGGTTGAAAGTTGAAAAACGTAGCATCTTTTAAACGCGAGAGCCGCGCCAAACATCAATGCGGTCAACATCAAAACCACAAAGAATCTAGAAGACCATAAAAAAGAAAAAGATTTACAATTACAATATATTACAGGAATAATATCGGAATATTATCGCATTCCTATCAACACTTCTCATTGCGATCCTCAACTTCACGCATGTACGTCATACTATCATTGGGCAGTGAGCTCCAACACAATCATTAGCCAACGAGTGAATTAAGTTGGGGCATAAATTTCACCTGATGCGATTTGCACCAACTCAAAGTCAAAGATTTAGCCTGGCAACGCAACACGTTTTGCGTGGTGATTCCAAACTCATATCTACAAAACAATGTACATTTTCATGTAGGAACTACATGTACATTCAGGGCATGACCGTTTAATGCGACACTCCGCTGACGTTTTGAAAGGCACTTCGCTGGTATGCAGTTATTCTTGAACGTTGACAGAATGTTGAGATGACGTGGACCAGCGACCGTTGGTAGACTAGACAGCGCCCCCTGTTGCCCACAGTTCACATTATGTTTGCTACGAGTTGCTTGTGTTTGGGCCCTCTACATCACTGCTGGCTGGGTGATCAAGCCCGTCAGCTTTGCCGGATATGACGTCGGTGTAGCTCGGCGGCAAATCCGCATCAAGGGAGTACTCCGGTAAGATGAACATATCTGTTGAATAACAAGCGGTATATAGTGACACATTTAGGTCATATAGACTGCGTAAACATGTGGCTATGGAAATGGATTCGGCTGCACCCACAGGCGCATTATTGACTGCTGAAGCCAATTAATTCGGCCGACTAGGGTATCACAGAGGGTGTTCTACACTGTACAAGATGCTGGGTAAGATAGTTGACATGAAATATAGCGGCCAGTGGCGTAGCCGGGCGGGGAGGGGGGCGGGGGTGGCACGTGTACCCCACAAATTTCCAGTGCCCCCTCCCCAGGTGCCCCCTTCCCACGCAAAAATCCGATTTTTGCCACTTGTCATGGAAGTGTCTTCTTAAAGTATTTTTTGAGTCATTAAAAACGAGGAGAAATCTAGATGACTATTACTGACGTCCCTTAACCCGTACGGCTTTTAGAAAAGTGAATAAACTGATAATAATCAAAGGCGCCCTCTATCGTCAAAAGAGGTCACCCCCACCCCCACGCTTTTCGAATTTGCAGCAATATTGTGATGGCCTGGACATTTTGGGGATATGTTCTTGTTGGGTCGGCCCTAGCTTGGCGCCGCCTCATAACATGCTGCCCCCCCCCCAATAAATCCAGGCTACGCCACTATTGTAGCCAGACATTTTCAGATTATAGGTCAAATGCCTACCCGATTCAACAAGAAAGAGATTTCTAGGTCTAGTGACCAAACAATGAGTAACAACAGTTTGTTTCCCGTAGATTTCGTGGACATTATGTCTGAATGTCGTCCCTTTACCTGGATTCATTCCATAGTTGGTTTGTCCCAGACTGCCGGACACCGTATTGGATTCAGCAGAGAAAGAGTCACCAACTCCCTGTATAAACGACATTGTTGAATAATTATGATTATTGGCACTGTCAAAACCAATCTGGGCTCCAATCAAAAGAAAAAAATCTGAAAAAAGGTATTCCCAGAGAGTCTAAAAAGTTTATTTCAATTTTGCAGTGTTCAAATGTTCTTTTCAATATTCAATGCTGGGAAGGTAACAGGCTCGCTGTAGAGGACTGTGGCAATCCCCGGCCCCACACAGCAGCATTTCATGGACTCGAGTCTGGCCCAATCGCTTCGAAAGAGTTCCTGTGAATGTTCTAATTGACCTTCCTTTGAACTATTTATTATCCCTATCTATTTATTATCCTTATCTTGTTGGACCCGAATGGCAGGCCTACATTCCTCTGACTGACTGACTACAGATTATGTCTTAATCCAAGACTTGGGGGATCAAGCCCAGTCTTCTTTTACTTCCCAAAGAGAAGATATTGGAGCAGATACCATACCTGTCTTTGCATTCTGTTAAAGATGATGATGAGCCGCGTGGATGCTGCGATACCAGCCATTGTAACAAGGAGAGCCGCTAAGCCAACGCCCAAGATGATCAGATGCATCGTCATGCAGTTCCATGCCTAACGACAGACAGAAGGGAAACTCATTACTGAATGACGAATAATCATGTTGCAGCCATTTGACTTTTTCCCATTCAAATCAATGTAACCAAAGCGAGGCTGGAAGGACAAATAGTCTGGTGCCTTTTTACACAAAAAAATTATCAATCAGTACTGTTATTGGATACAGGGAACATGACTGAAATGGTGGCAGCATTATAAAGGTCTATAAGAAGTCTACAGCTACACAATGGCCTCTTTGGTACCAAATCAACAGAAATTAATGCTCATCTTGTAATGAGGAGTTTCCTAGGCAAAACGATAACTGAACTCAATAGTGAATTAGATCTCATTTGGTGCAAATAAAGTGCTTTGTTTGCAAGATTTCAAGATTATTTCATACGATGCATCGAGGTAAATGGTTGTGATAATGATTTTGATAATAATGGCGATTGTATAGTGGTGAAAAGGTTGATGCCAAATATCATATATGGGTGAATCTAAGAGCGGTGATTATGAAAAATCATGACGTGTGAAATTTTGAAGATGGTGAAAATTGGGTTCAAGATGGTGATAATCTTCATGATGCTGATGATGCTTATGGCAGTGGTTGTGGTGATATGGGGAGTTCCTGATGTGTGATTATGGTGGTGATAGAGACGATATCAGTGATATTGTGGATACAGTCACTGATGTTTGAAATAATGGTGGTAGTGGTGATGTTGAAAGTGATGGTGGTGAGAATGTTGGTGAGAATGGTGGTGAGTATCTGCCTCACCTCTCCGTCTTCCGTTTCCGGTTCCCGGAGGACGCCGATCAACTCCAAGGTCATGAAACTGAAGATCATGGCCAGCCCGACGACGCACATAATTCTGTACCATTTCATCTAAAACGAAATACACATGAAACAATTCAAACTATGGAAACACAGTTTTTTCCCCAAGAGATGTACCCAGGCCCATCACCAGTTGACACAAGTCCGTCCATTAAGTCATTGAGTTATAAGTAAAGTAATTAGTCTGTCACGAGCCGATGTGGCCCATCAGGCCGGCGGTTATCTCCGGTTTCAGTAGCATGAAACAACTGAGAATACCTCTGTTCCCCTGGATGGGATGCCAGTCCATCCCAGGTTACTCCCCAGCTAATGCCGGTACCCATTTATACTCCTAGGTGGAGAAAGGCAAGTGGGGATAAAGTGGCTTGCCCAAGGACACAACATATGATCAGCAGCTGGATTTGAACCCCTGACCCTCTGATCAGGAGTCAAGAATCTTAACCACTATAACGAGCCATCACAAGTCCGTCACAAATCATTGCCAGAGCCATCCAGTAGGGACGTCATCGTGTCCATCACAAGTCCCTGCAAGTCCATCACAAGTCCTCCAGTCCCGATTCAAACCACAAGCTATTCAAATGAGCTTTGACAAAGGCATTCCTTTGTGAATGTTCATCCACTGCAGGTGAATTGACTTGTGATTTACTTGCAACTGACTTGACTACATCCCTGCCATGCTCCCAAGGGGGTGCATATGTTCCCCAATACCTATGTTCTCCAAACCTAACCCAAACCCTCACCATCTAACCCTAACCCTAACGATTTTGGAGAACATAGGTATTGGGGAACATAATTGGGCAACATCGGGTAGACCCCTCCCAATGTGCGGAAAAACAAATAACTGTCGTCGAACTCAAGGAGAATTTCAAAAATATCAGGCTTCTTTTTATGGATCTATGGGGTAAACCGATTCAGACTTGGGTAGTGTTCCAGAGAGGACTGAGTATGAACCCTTTGGTTTTTTTAAGGAGTCGTCAACTTACCGTCCTTTTGATCTGTTTGATCCCGAAGGTCACGGCGCCTCTTCTCGTCGGCGATAGTCCTATCGAACTTGACACGATAAACTGGCAAAAATATAAACAAAAATATATATAAATTCGTGCGAACGATGCATAAAGTGAAAACATTGTTGTGAAAAAATGGCTGATGTGGTTTGGGATTGGCACCATGTGCCATTGAGCATTGAACTGAGGTCTTGCCATGATGACTGATTGCCAGGCAAGTGATTCCAATCCCAACCGCAGCCCTTTTCACAACATGCAGAATTTTACACAATAATTAACACAGCACTGAAATTGATTAAAGCCAGGAACCTGGCCACAAGTGTCTAAAAATCAACAGATAAATGTGTAGCACTGAGAGACTGAAATTAAATAAAACTCATTGGGGTTAAGGCCAAGGATAAGGAGTATTTGCACAATCAAACATTTTCAAATTTACTTCATGATCAGTTTTGTAGTTATTTCAAAATAGTCGACGGACTCTTTTTGGAGCCATACTGTACAGCATGTTCAAGGTCTATGAATTTGTATATATCAGACTGCAAAACTGATGAAAGGAAAGATTGGTTTTGAATCGATTATGGACATAATGGTAAAAAGGTTTGCAAAAAATATCTGTATATAAGAATTCTTAAATTGGATGTGTGTCCCTTTCTAACAGTACGTTTGAAGGCCTTTTTAGGGATTGTTATAATTTCCAAATGTGTTTGTCTGGATTGAGTCAAGTTTTAAGTTGCACCATCATGTAGAATCATGGTAACAGCGGTGAAAGTCGAAGAAGTATCCCTATCTGACTTAAACTTTCTCTTACCCATATTGAATTGAAGAAGTAAATCCAAGTAATACTAAGTGCACAGTTCTTGGACGAGGCAAACATTCCCACCACGCCGATAGACAGGGCCAGAGCCAGCTGCAAGATCCCCGTCAGGTAGATCGGCTTGACCAATGAGAGACGGGATGGATATGACGTCGTCGTGGTTGCTTGCTGCGATTGGTCAGACTCCCCCGGACCCGCCATCTTGGTTTTTGGATTCTACAAAAGCTGCCAAGCAGCGTCAGAAATGATTACAATTTTGTTAAAATGAGCACGTACACATGAACTTCATAAATGATTGTTCTTACGACAATGAAAACCTTTCCAGTTACCTACTCTACAAAAGGAGTTGGGTATCTCGTCGAGGATGAGAAGAACCAGCAAGGCCAGTATGTTACAGGAATAAGAAGTCACAAAACGACTTCTGGATATTGTCAACTCCCAGTGTCTGGCCTGCTTTGGTCAGATTTTAAGAGATCGAACAAACAAAGATTTCGATTTTTGATTGAATTGAATGGCCGTGGCCACTGTTGGCGCCATTTTTGTAACCGTACCGCTTTGTACCATTCGGTGTTTCGAAATGTCCACAATAGCCAAAGCCTCGTACCAGTGACCTTTGGCCAAAATGAGCAACAACAATGAGCAAACCTCAAAAGAAATCTGTTACATCAGGGTCAAAGGTCAAGTGGTGCCTGATTCAGAGTGTGATATGGATTTATAAAAACCCCGATACAAATAGTTTTCTGGCTACGTGTCATTGCCTTGGATCTGTTTGATAACTAGGTCTGTGGACTTTGACATCTTCTGGCAACAACAAGTTGTAAGCAAGCAAACTTCTCGTTCAGCAAACGTTACAATGAGTAGTACAAATATATTTAGTTTCGTTGTTCAAAATGTAAGAATGACAGTTCATTTTTTACAAAGAAAAGTTGTTGCAATATCACACGTCCTTAATTTCTGATGCAAGGTGCTTCAACTACAGAACTTGAAAAATTATTAAACTAAATATAAGCTTTGTAGGCCTACTAAAATTGGCACTATTCCTTTCATGAACTCATCTATCATCATCATTATAAAAAAAAACCCTTGGAATGTCATTATTGTTATCTTCTTTGTCGAATCGTCTTAGTTTTCAACATCGCATCAGTAGCTTTTGTTTTCGTAGTTCTAATAACATCTTCGCCATATTCGAAATCTTTACAGTTAGTCCAGTACAATCATTTTGACAACACGACCACCATTGTTGTCATCATCGGATCGTAAAAATATATTCACAATCATCACCACATCTTCATTTATATCCTCTCACCATATCTATCTTCCTCCCAGACACCATGTTCTTTGCCAAAAAACGCTACATAACTGTCATTAATTGACACCAATTAGCATCATCGCATGCTATCATCCCACAATCACCTCTATCATTATCACCATCATGACCTTCGCCAAAATTCTCACCATCCTCAAAACCACCAGCCGAATTCGTCTCCAAAGATGATGGTTCAATCAGCATCATCTTCCTCTCATTCTTGACTTTCACCGTCATCAGTATCATCATTATACCGTACTACTATCCCACAATTCCCACTACCATTATCACCATCACTACCTTCGTCAAAATTCTCAACATCCATAAACCACCCGCCGAATTCTTTTCAAAAGGTGATAATATGGATAAATAAATACCTTGGAGAGTTGATAGCTTCTGATTGATCGAGACTCGATCACGTGGGGTGTATTACCATGTGATATAAAGTCCGGCTTTAAGAACAAGGGAATAAATGGCCCCTGAACCAGCTTTGATCCAGCATCATGTCAGCAAAGGAGTGGCACACTCCATTAACAGCGGTCATCTCCTAACACGGTCATTATCATGCAGTGAAGACCGGGTCTTCACACTGCTATCCCCTAACTCAATCCACATCATCTTCCTCTATTTCTTCGGGCTATCACCATCATCAGCATCATATCGGCAGCCACTCACACAGTAACATCATCTCGTTTTACTCCCGTATATATCAATAAATTTCTCGTTTACTTACCAGAAGTATAATATAGTCCCAACAAAATGGCGACAGCTCTATTCTGATCCGAAATCTATCTCTGATGCCGTCTGCTTTCAGATGTATTTCCAATCATAACGCTTCCTTCTACATAACAGCTAGAAATAAGACGCTTAAAATCCAAGATGGTTTCAGACTAGATTTCGCAACATCAAATCGCAAAAAAATTATGAAATTGTTCTGCTTTAGTCCAATGATCACCGTCCCGACCCTTATACACTCCCAGAACAGGTTGTGTGTCGCTCGATAAGGCAGACAAGCTAATTATTTCCCAAGTTTTGTTAATTATTTACATTTAGGGCTAAAGTGCGCAGTTTCCGCGACAACAAGCGTTCAGCTATAGTCAGTTTTTTTTTGTTGATTTATGATTTCATGAATTATCGTCGTTTCTATCAGATAAACAACAGATTTGTATTATTTAATGTCTCGTTAGCCGCGTTTCAAAATGATTGTAAGTGTATTTAGAAGATTCTCGGCAGACACAGAGTTCAACTCAGAGTTCTGCGAAGTACATTTGATGCACAGCATTGATAATATGAAAACATCACTGCGGTGGCATCACGCCCACGAGCGTGTCACAAACCTCTTATATAAATATCAATTTTTATTCATTTGTAAAAACTGGATCAAATGCAGCATTTTTGGGCACATTATGAGACAGCTGCCTTTTAACACTGACAAATTAATAAATTACAATCTGACAGTGATTTTCAATATAAATAATGCTTGCATTTTACAAAAATGACCTTATCTACTAATTTCAATTCTTTATCGAAACAATACTTTACCTTCGTCGTTTGAGCCAGACCAAAAAGCTGAAGTATAGTATGAGATTATAAACATGCTGCTAATAACTGTACGTGAAATACAGCCATTCCCGAAAATGTTAGCATATTCCCTTGACTTCTATTGCATGAAAATGTTAACGTCGATAAAATATTATACACAAAATAATGATATCTTTATAACATTTATAAAAATCCTAAATTTGGATCAATTGCTGTTTTCCTGGGGCTGTTGTGGACTTGTTTCATTTGCAACACTACTTCCCGATTGCGAACTCTGCCTATCTTCGGACTCCTCGTCTTGGTTATCAGTTTCGTGTGTGGTTGTGGCGCCTTCTACCTGGATACACTGCGTGCTCGGCGTATCTGTGGGTAGATCTTCAATTGCGGTCGTCGCCGTTTGTGAACCTTGCCCGATCTCGGACTCGCTGGCCTGGCCGTCAGCACCGTTCGTTGCCGTCACTGGTTCGCTCGCAGGAGACAACGAGATATTAATTTGCAATGACGCTGGTGTCCAGGCACCAGAAGTCACCTCGCTGTATGAGGGCGGTTGGTCGGCGTAGGGCGGCGCAGGCGGGTAACTCCCATTCGCGAATTGGATTCCATAAGACTGCGGTGCCGTAGAATTAATGTACGCTGTTTAAAAAGTACAATCGTTCATTTAATTTACCTTCCAGATTTTAATAAAAGAGGCTTGACTTTTGAAAACAATGCTCACAAAGAAGTGTCTTATGAATATTGCATGTCTTAAGATGTGGAGGGCGCCATTTATATTGTCCACTGATTGTATTTTGCTTGGCTGTAATCACTCACCATAGCTAGGGGGCTCCAGCACTGCATTTGGCGTCTGCGGGACATCGGCCTCCATATTTCGTCCCGTTACCTCTATTACCCTATGTCGGCCCTAAGAACAATCATCAACAAAAAAATAATATAAAGTCTCTCACAAAAGGCCGAATTGGGGCCCTGTATTGGCGCCATACGTGATACTCGGGTTATTAACGGATGAACACATGTTGCCAAGATAAACAAAAAATCACTTGATGTTATACTATGCGTAATGATAGTTTTAAGAATGAACTAAACTTATTGATTCGCTTCAAGAAACATGACATAATTACAACATTTTGTACATAGCCTCGGCAACCGAAACAGCGCCCTCACTAGTTGAAAATTAGGACAGTGGGTAAGGAACTTTAATCCATCTACATTATGTTCAAACAATATACTCACCGAGTTTGATCGCCTTTGTCTGTTGGAGAAGTCGTTGCCATTGCAACAGACCTTGCTGGCGAACGCAAGGCATCGAACCGCCAGGATGACGTGTGTTATTCCCGTGACTGCAAGACAAATATCTACCGCTGTCCTTGCTGCTAGCGAGGCCTGAAAGAGTCAACAGGAAATTTAATTTAATTAACAAAAGTACATCAGTTCAGCTTTGGCATTATTTTTTGAATGGAAGAAAACACTGACCCCGCCCTCAACGACGTCTTCCTCTTCAGCCGCGCCCGTAGCAAACAGCACTGTCATGTTGATGGCGTACATGATGCCGATGACGCAGAAAACAAGATGGCCGCCAACCTACATGAACAAACAGAAATACAATATATGTAGCCTTAGTGTTACGAAATGACGCGTTCTACCTCTGGGGTGACTCTCCTCAGAATAGGCCTATTGTTAATCAAGAAGGTGAGATACAAGTAAATAATAATTACGACCAGTCGAACCTCTTGTTCATGGTAAGGAATTAAAATAATCACATATTTTATGGAGTATTTTGAGCTTGTTGAGTGCCTGACAACTCGGCCACGTTTGGCCCCGTTAGTTAAATGTCATTCGAAGACATCATATCATACAGGAAAACGAAAAAAAAAAAACCACGCTAAACACCAAAGTCCAAATTGCCTGAACAGAAGGTTGGAGGATCGTTACCAATAAAGACTTATGTTTTATACTAGGTATACTATTACTTCTAAGATGATGAAAACTGCACTTAGGGCAGGCTACGGTGAATAACAAAATGTGTCATTATATAGGCATTATGAGCATAATAGCCGAAGAGAACGCAGGACAGTTTTGTTCGGAACTATAAATTGAATTCGAATATGAAGGCATTACTTACCACACACGTGTTGTATGTGTTGCGAGAAGCAGAAATTCCCAAGAGTCCGGCCATAAGGAACTAAAAGGGAGAAAACAACATTAAAGAATTGTAAGTTCATTGCACTACGGAGGGTTTTATACTTCACGAGACATGAAAGGGAATGCAAGCCGAATATCAGTGGCGACGTACCCAATCCCACCTCTGCCACCATTTGTCAACTTCTCATATTTCCTCAAATAATAACATAGTATCACTCAAATAAATCATCACAGGCTTTTTTTTATACAAACTTCTCCACCAACATCTGACTCCAAGATAATAACGCGAATCTTGACCTGAACAAAATGACTAATAAAAAAAACCCCATTAACTGCTCGAGTGAGAACATCTGTGTGAAATTTACCAGTGAAAATTAAACTTACCCAAGCCCCCGACCACAGAGGAACGGCACTGTCACTGAATTTACAGCCCAGCATAATAGCTGCAATCCCCAGCCCGGTGACGAACAGTCCAAAAATCGCCTGGGCTGTGGACCAGTATAAATACGGCTTCTTGATCATTCTGGAGGCTGATACCAGACAAAATGTCGACCAACCAAACCTTTCACTTAATCGTACTGACTCTGATGATTCCCTTGACGTCGACCATACCTTAGGATTGCAGCTGCTGCAAGAAAACAAATTATGTTCATGTGTCGTACTAAAAGGAATGTCACAATTACTGTATAGATAAGACTCCTTTTCAAACCTGCAATTGCTCAGTTCTGTTAAGGCAGGCCTATGCAAATTGATAAACGGTATTTCTACTCAAAACTATCGTAACAATTTCCTCTGTATTCCTGTAGCTGTACAACACTTTTAGTTCAGGCTTCACTCTGAGATTAACTAAGTCAAGATTACACACATATTCGTTTCGGATTCAACCCGTATCGCAATAGGCACGTGTTATAAAACCATTCAACATGTGTATGTATTATGTAGGCCTACATTAGAAGCGGAAATCTAATCTTTAAAGTGCCAATATGTGGTACAAACATGTCATGCGGGGTTTAGAATAACATTGAAAGAAACTTACCAAAAGTCTTTTCAGAAATCTTACAGAACCAGCGAGTTCCTTGATCTTTCTACGTCGATTGCGAAAGCGTTAGAACTAAAAACCGTCAACATATCCTGACAGTGGTACAAACCAAACATATTTCACAAGATTATTTTTTTGTGTCCGGGCGGACTTTATGTGGATATTATTTGCACGATTACGTAACGAGTTTAATTTTTGTCTGTATCAACACAACATGCAGTAAATCATTGATAGTGTCACGTGTATCTCAAGGGACACGCACAAGCGTGGTTGTGTCTAGTATTATGAAATGGCGGACGCGGTATGCATAACAATTAAAATGGCCCGACCCCACGTCATTACATGTATTGTGCACGTATTAATATCGGTAATTAAAAGGTCGGACACAAGACCTTTAATAAGAACCTGACTAATTGTTTTTCTTTGACAATAAATATGCGGAAAAAAGCTTGGGATGCTGAACAGTGAATAGTATTACATTGATAACAATTCACAATAATATGGGGAGTTTGCATTGAAAATAATTCTTGCAGGCTCTACAAAAAGATTATAACATGTGATCACTGGTAGCGGGCGCAACGAAAGAGGGAGCACTTTTGAAAGTGTTGTTTAATGACAGCCGGGTGTTTCCGACTCATGATCAGCAAGCCCATTCAAATATGCATTGAAAAGTTGGATGCTAATACAATGTAGAATGCCAACTACATTTCTTACCGTGTTCCGATAAACCCTAATTTGACGCTAATATACAAGATTTGAATAATACAACAGCAGGGCCTATAGCGCTAAGTACGGTGTTCAACATGCCTTACAGTTCGTGTCTAGTTCCAAACAGATTTAGTACACAATGTAACATTGTAAAATAACAGAGCCCGACTGCAGCATCGGTGAACAAAATTAACATTAAACTTATCCAAATCAACCGGCTAAATTATAATTGATTTATATTCGAGACAAGTACTGTTTCTAAAATAATATAATAACGGTGTACCTGTCGTCGGCGTACGAATACTCCGTGCAAGAACAATCAAACAAAATAGTTTCCACACGTGTGAAATCGTATTTATTAACAATCGTGGCGGTCATCATTAACTCATCTCTAAAATGTATAGGATTGGGTGATCAGTAGTATCATTTCAAATCTATCCTGTCCTTGCTGAACTTGTACAGATTCCAGCCCACCAGTCTTTCTTCTACGAGTGTACCAAATGAACAGCGCCTCCAGTGTCAAATGAAGTGCAATCTTCTCTACGTTGCGCAGCTGCACGTAGTCCGGACTCCTTATTTTGCGTTCATTCCGAGCATTTGCAGTTCTGCTTCACTCGTTGTATTTCCTGCCGCAGTTGCCTCAGCTCAGTCGAGTCAGCCGAGCTGCCGCCATGTTGGTTCTGGCTCAGCTGGGATACCATGGTGATGGCGCTTTGGGTTGGTTGCACATCGTTCCTCATCCTTACCTATAGACACAATGAATAACTTGGTAATAATAATTTCAAGGAGGAAGACAGTGAAGCAGCATAGGCCAAGTTCGGGCAAGGACCATTAGTCGACTAGTGGTTGATTTGTGACGTACCTTACGCCTGCGCACTGATAGCAACGTGCGAACGTCTCTAGTCAAACGCTGGTCAAAATGTCGTCGCAAAACTTCTGGATCCTGGCTCTCTGCTAGCGTTATGAATGCGCGCGGCAATTGGTTACCAGCGAAGCAACCAACCCCCGTAGGCTGGTTCCAAATAGTCGACTAGCGTAGTCAACCACCGTTGACTAGACAGAGTTCGGGCAAACATTAGTTAACCATTGGTCAACTATAGTCCTTGCGCGAACTTGGCCATAATACAGCAGCAAGTACCCCCTCAACGGTAAGAAAGGGAGAGTTGGGGAGACAACTGGGAGACACATTCAAACGCATTGCTGACGAGCGAAGACATTATGGCTTTGTGCATGTGCAGAATAAAATAATTCGCGTGCAAACTGGTACGCGCACACTGTGTCTCCCGTCCACGGGGCTATCCATATTTTTTTTTTAAAGCGTCCTCTTTTGTTCGTGCCAGGAGCCCATAAGACAATGGGACATCCTTTTGAGCAAGTGAGGGCGCTAAAACGACTAAATAAATCAAAGGTTGATATAATTACTTTTGGAACAAACACCACACAGAGAGTCAGGGTAGTAGCCAGCCAGATCAGGGTAGCTACCAGGGCGTAGTGGGCGTTTCGCTCCTCCAGAATAAACGACACCGGAGCGCCAACGAAGGAAAGGATCAAGACGTTGTAGACACAGATGCCTAGAAATACATTTTTAAAAGGGTTTACAATGAGTGCAAAGGAAAACGATAAATATTTCATTGCGATTGCATAAACAGTCATTGCACCTCTCTAGTGACAAACAGAGCTTCGTAAGCGAATAGATGAGGCCATTTTCCATTTAGTTCAATTATATGCTTCATCGATGCTTTTGGTTTGCTCTTACCAATGTACTTGGAGTCATTGAGCGCTGGGATGGAGACTTTCCTGGTCTCCCAGGCCAGAAAAGCTCCAAATATCAACAGCAGACCATCGATGACGTAGAAGGCACCAATCCAGTAGGTCTGGTTGCTAGACTCGCACATCATACGGATTGGTGTGTAGACGATGTCATCATTTTCGTCATCAATCTAAAAACGCAGATTAAGTTAAAAAAAAATCACATGTCCTTGTACTTTGAAGAAACGTGGTTTGAAAAGTCCTACCAGAAAATTTCAAGCCGAGATCGTTTTTTTTTTTACACCATAACAATTATTCCACAATGACGGTAACAATTGAAACCCTGGTTGTTTACGTACCACTTTTGCTCCAAATCGTTCAGTTGCAACGAGTGGATCTAGCGCTTCCCACAAGATCAGAATCAAGACATCAAGGACGACCAGAGTGGCAAGACTGCCGAACAGTCGCTGATCCTTCACCACCTAGAGAAAGGTTGTGTCCAAATTACTTGACTATGGCTGGAAAATACACACGCGCCTATGGAAACCGCTGCAGCCACTTTCCATAGCCCCATGTGTCATATCTAGCCATGGGCGTCGCGAGGGGGGGGGCAAGGGGGGACACTTGCCCCCCCCCCCCGGAAAAGCAAAAAAAAAAAAAAAAAAAGGAAGAAAAAAAAAGAAAAACAAAAAAGAAAGAAAAAGAGGCGAGAAGACAAAGTGGTGTAAATTTAATGAGTTGGGGGGGGGGGGGCAAAATGTCCCTGCCCCCCTCTAAAACTGATAAATCGAGAATGTATTGAGAAATACAAGCATTTTTTTGGCAAAAAATTTGTTTGCCCCCCTCTAGAAAAAATCCTGGCAACGCCCATGTATCTAGCCGTAGCAAAGTACTTCAGACATATTTTTGACCGAGTGAGGGCGCTATGAAGACGCCATTTTAGTCAACAAACAGACATAAATTCATATTTAGAGACGAAAGTTAACATGCTGTTTCGATTGAAAAATTAATATTTTCTATATCTACCTTTACGCTGAAGTAAAGTTACGAGTTTGAAAACTTGCTTCAACAATCATGTTTTTCTTACTGATTCGTATCTCCAAAAATAATGTTGGACGAATGAGGCCACTAATTATTATGACGACGCCATTATTGGTTAGAAAAGACACGGATTAATAAATTATCAATTTGATTCCTCCATGATTCGATTCAAACACTAATATTTACTATTTTTAACTAAATTTAAAGTAGGCCTACATTTTTCGAAATGGGATAATTTTTTTGCTTCAATATGTGTTATTTTTACTAATTCATATTTTAAAGAATGCGTTGTCATAGCACCACCTTTATTTTTCTAACATATCTAAGCCATGCCACAATACGAGGCAAACTTGGTTCTCAGAAATACACTCAGAAAACAAAATGCTCCATAATTGAGAGAAAATCCTGTTTCGTACGGTTTTGATGACTGTTTTGTTGGTGAATATCTTGTGGACTCGCCAGGTCTTGCTGAACATGGAGCCGAAGGCCAGGGAGAACCCGATGGACAGACAACAGGTCTTGGCCTGAGAATTGATAAAATGATCAATTCGAGGTGATAGGAGTTTTGGACTAACATGTCAATAAGGTATTTTGTTTGAAATAATTATTGTGCACGTGGTTGAATTAGTTTGGAATGGGTAACATTCCAATAGTAAGCCTATATTGTCTTTAGTGCTATACGGAGGCCCTTATTCTTAAAACAAAGACTACAGAGTCTCGTTCTTTACCTTACACATCCACACGAAAGTGTCTGTGGATGCAATGTTGGTATCCACACCCAGAAAGATGATGGAGATGTAGGCTAGCATTCCACCAATCAGCATCACGTTGTTGATGTTGGGGCTCGACATCTTGATCACGCTTCATCACACCAAGAAAACAAGTGTTTTAAACAAAGGCAACAGCGCCCTCTTTCGCCAAACAAAAAGACGCTTACATTTGATGCTTTTTCTATTATCAAATATCAAACATCGATGAATCTGAATATTTACCGCAGCTTCCTGAAGTGGATGTTGAAAGCCAGGAAGCAGCAAGCCAGAGCGATCCCAACTGTAGCCAAGATGGCGCCGGCGAGGAAAAGTGAAAGCTGTATCGTCTGCCGATCTTCTCGCTCGATCATGAAGTCGATAGGGGTCGCCCCACCTGGAAATGGTTTCGAAATAAGTTTGAACACTCTCTTGCTAGTACCTGATAAAAAGTTGCAGTAACATGCCATGAAATTAAACACATGCGAACGTTGATCCTGTTCTAAAAGAATCGCAAAGAGAGTTCGTGAAGAGAGTTCGACGTTGCTAGAAGTTGTACAATTAAGGAACGTACGACAAAATGTTTTACCTACCTGACCAATAAATTGGTTGGTATCCCTTCCACGAGATATCTTCCCCTGAGCCGACTGTCGGGTCCATCATTCCAATGTTTATACGTTTACCATCTGATTGATGTAAAATATCTTAAGTGAGTTTCGATTATATCAGAATCGGTATAAGACAATAAATATTCGTGTTGGTATCGGCAATGTAAGTACGGATTCAGTACGGGCGATTCACAATAATGCGCCTCCAAGGGTTTGCAACGCGTTGGCCAATCACAATGCGCAAAATCTGTCAACCCAATGCGCGTTTGGAAAAGGTCGACTGATTTCGCGCATTGTGATTGGCCTGCGCGTTGCAAACTCTTGGAGGCGCACTATTGTGAATCGCCCGTATTAACAGTTGTACTAGTGTACTTATCTACATGGAGTTAAAGCATTCTAACATGAAGACTCAGTTTGAGAAGTTTTTAACTCCAAAGGTATCATCGGACCTTATAGCTGTTACATGCTTCTTGGTAGCAAAGTATATAGGTCAAGGGAAGGATTTGTCATAAACTATATGGGATCCAAAACGAACTCTGGCATCCATCTTTTAGATGACATTTACAAAATATAACTGTTGAGGGCGCAATTCGTCATTTACTATCAGTGCACACTGTAAGTTACCTTGCAACTGTCTGAGCAGGATTAGACCAACTCTGTCACCAGAGGGCGCGAATGTTACAGGACCCTGCAAAAATATTGGAATACACATATTGATTAAACAGAGACACAACAATTTCACACCACTCATCAATTCTTCTTTATGTCAAAAAAACCTACCGATATCCCCTGGAACGTCAGATTACTGATGATGTCAAAAATAATCTGAGCAGTCAAACTGTCGTAAGAGAACTCTTTCAGCGTTCTTGATGGTTCTGAAATTAAAGAAAAACGAAACGAAATTCGACATTTATTCCAGTAAGGACGGAATTACAACTTGAGCCAAGCCTTTGTAAGTTGTTAGACTGAGACTTTGCGAAGTTTCACGCCATTAATTAATATGATAATCGCACATATAGCGTTCTTGCTAAATGTTAAGTTTACGATATGCTGGACACTAAAAAGATAATTTATTTTCATTCATTCGCGCTCACTCACGGACGAAAGGAGCGGGGCGCATTTCTGACCGTAGTTTATACTAAACTCTTTGTTTGATAAAGTTAGTACCTTTCATTTTTACTAATCATCGACACTTGAATCTATACAAGCACCCAAATTTCATAAGAATGACACGTTGAATTTCTGAGGTCTGAAGAGGAAGAACGCTGACTAAAGAAGACCTTGCTCTACGATCAAAAGTAGAAACCCCTACCCAACTGTCGGAGCCTCCGCTCTGCCTCGTGGAGGGCTAGCGCCGCAGTCCAGACGCTGTCGTAGGTGAAGGAGATCTCTACGAAACCCGTCATCGTCTCGGGATGCTCGTTGTCCGCTATGACTTTAAATCTCTCCAGAAATTCGCTAGTAGACTGCAAAATAGTAAAAGAAAACACACTGTCAGTAAATCATGGTCGCTTTTTAAATGGTGCTAGTCAATCTAATCTTATTTGTTTCCCCCACCTCTCACCGATACTGAGATCTCACGCGTCACCACAAAGTACCAGCTGCCGAAACGTTGAGCAAACAAAAAAGCAGTTCGGCTCCAGAATGTCGACCTTTTTCTCGTATACACCATTGGGACAAAATATAAGATTTGAGGCTTTGCATGGTGGGGTATCGGTATCGTTTCGGTTTTGCGGTAACACCATGTGGTAATAACTACTGCTTAGAAGATATTAGTTCTGAGAAGAACTTGTCCTGCTTATTATCAACTTGCTAAGTAGTTTTTGTTCTGTTTAGAACAGTCCTGCTGTAAGTTCTAAAAGAACTTGTCTTTGGTCTCAACGTTTCGACTAGCCTGCTCTAGTCATCGTCAGGAGACTCTAAACAGAACAAAAATTACTTAGCAAGTTGATAATAAGCAGGACAAGTTCTTCTCAGAACTAATATCTTCTAAGCAGTAGTTATTACCACATGGTGTTACCGCAAAACCGAAATGGGACAAAATAGTTGTCTCTTTGTAATTATCACTTGATGGCGCTCTATTCGGCTAAATGGGGGCGCTGCAGTGACCCTAATTTGCTTGGCTAAATATGCTAGAAAATCTCGTTCAGTGAATCAATCTAAAATCATCTAAGAATGAGACATTGCAAAGAATAACGTTTTCAGTTTACCCACGACAGTAATCTTTCATTTATGTTTATTTCTTAACAATGGCATGGTTATAGCGCCCTCAATCGTAAGGATTTACTGCGGTGCTGAATGACAACTATTACCATTCCAGACAGAGAGGGCGCTCGGTTGGAATCAGATGGCAGACTCTCTGCGATGATGCCGATGTAATTGGCAGTAACGGCATCCATTTGTTCCTGCGTGCAGTCTATGGCGTCGTCTGGGTCCCGCCACCAACGCCACTGCAACCAGTCTAATTACAACAAACACAATAATACAAATAGATACGCAGCAACGAAGTAACGTAAGTTAATACGGTAGGCCTAAAACCAATACAGAACGGAGTAAATTACCAATATATAGTCTCAAACGCAAAACCAATTATTTTTAACATATAGAACCAATACAGCTTGGCCTACCCAGAAGCATAATTATCAAAACAGAAGTAACACAGTATAGGCCTACAAATTCGAAACTAATGAGACCATTATCATGCTGCGGCCATTTTTTCCCCTCCCCCATTCAAATCAACGTAACCAAAGCGAGGCTGGAAGGAAAAATAGCCTGGTTCCTTTTAGCTGAAAAAAATTATCATTCAGTAATGTTATTTGATACAGGGAACATGACTGAAACGGAGGCAGCATGATAAAGGTCTATACCAACCTCGTCCCCAGTGCTTACTTTATTTCCAACCTCGTTTCCAATAGTAAGCCCTGGATAGGAAACTCTCTTCCTATGTCCTGATTCGATACCGCAATTGGCTAGTAATAGATTTGTATCGTGTACTTGGTGTTAATCACAACGTGCAGTACGTGTTTTTGCGATCATTTTTTTTTTTGTTTTTTTTTGTTTTTTTTTTTCCTCAGGGGAAACTTATTTATTCAGAAGAAACGTTTCTCTTGCGTTTTACAATAATTATAAACAAATAATATATTAATCATTACATAAAAGAGAGAATGGATCCCATTTCGCATTAAATTTAGCAAGATCACCATTTGTAATAAATATAAATTTTTCCAATACATAGTATCGTTTTAGCTCATTCTTAAATACTAAAAGAGACGGTTTACTACCATTCATCTTCATTTTGTAAATGTGGTAACGGCATAGGAGAAGACATAAATTAAGGGCGCTCCAGTTTTTGTTAAGTATGCCAAATAAAATCATCTCGTAATCTACAAACACATTAATATTCAAAGTCTCCTTAATCCAAACACTAATTTGAGTCCAGAACGATAAAGAAATCTCACAAGTGCAAAATAAGTGAATCAGAGTTTCCTTTTCTACATGACAGAAGGAACACAAGTCGTTCTCCCCTTTACCGATCTTTACCAAATAAGAATTGACGCCCAGGATTCTATGGACCAATCTGTATTGAAACCATCGTAATTTTGTATCACAAGTAATCGTAAAGGGCATACTGCAGAAAACCGACCACTTAGTGGCAGGGAATTTGATACTCAATTTTGTTTCCCATTTGTCAATGAACTTACTCGCAACCTTTTTTCCTGAAGTTAAAATATGATAAATACGGGTAGAACCTTTTTTATCTGACAAAAGTATCTCAAAATTAAATGGGATAAAAGGAAAGCAAATATTTGACTTAACCCCTTTAAGTAGATCACGAAAAGAATTTTTGACGGCCTTGACAACTCCACCATACTCTAGAAAGTTAGTCCTAATACTGAATTTTAACATAAAGCGTTCCAAGCTCAAAAAAGCACCTTTATCGTCAAGTAGGTCAGACACAAAGTTTGCCCCTTTGTTTGCCCAGTGTTTGTAAAAAATGCAATTGTTCCCAATCGTAATTCTGTGGTTCTTCCACAAAACATTGCTAAGAGGATCATTCTGATTAACTGGCACATGGCATTGCACAAAAGAACTCCAAGCATTGAGAACGTCAATCCAGAACTGGTTAGGGTGAGCTGTCCTCTTAAGTGAATGAACAATACTAGAATGACCGCCTTCCACAAAAAGCACATTCTCAATTTCAGTAATCTTATAAAACAGATTGGGCCAAGCTGAGGCCTTAGTGTTCAATAATCTACGGATCCAAGTACACTTAAGAGCGCTGATGTAGGATCGCAAATCAATCATCTTAACTCCCCCATGACCATAATTCTGAATCATCTGATTCCTGGCAACTCTATCACCACCTTTCCAGATAAATTTATACAACATAACATTTAGATTCTTAATTAAATACAAAGGTGGATCAGGGAGTGACAAAATAAGGAAAGTAAATTTGGATAAAATAAGCGACTTCACTATGGTAACACGGCCAAGAACGGTTAAATTTCTTCTAGACCACTGGTCAATTAAACTACAAGTAGAATCAAAAACTCTATTATAATTCACAGTCGTCATATTATCAAGGTTGGTGGAAAAATCAATACCAAGTGCCCTAAAATAATCTTGAGGACCAAACCACTTCACATTAATATGATCACATAGACCTTTCTGTCGACCCTTATTACCACCAATCCACACCGCATTTGTTTTTTCAATATTTACTTTAAGACCAGAAATGCTAGCAAAATCGCCCAAAATCTTGAAGGCTCTATCAAAAGAACGCTCTGAACCGTCTAAAAATAATACTGTATCATCAGCATACTGAGAAAGTCTATATTCTCTGCCATCTACCTGAATTCCCCTTAAAATCTTATCACAACGAACCATCATGCCCATAATTTCGGCGCACAAAAGAAACAAATAAGGGCTCAAACCATCACCTTGTCGACAGCCACGCCCTATTTTAAATGATTCCGATAAGAATCCATTTACTAACACCGAAGCTGTCGCTCCACTGTAAAAAACCCGAAACCATTTCTGTATAGAAAGGCCAAAATTAAACTGGTTCAAAATTTTGAGTACAAAATCATGTGAAACAGAATCAAAAGCTTTCTCGAAGTCAATCAATAAAAACATACCAGGAATCTTATGTTTTTCTGTATAATTAAGCAAATCATACATTAAACGAATATTCTCACCAATATAACGCCCTTGCAAGAAACCCTTTTGATTTTCATGAATGAGAGAGGAGAGACATGTTTTAAGTCTCTCTGCTATACATCCAGAAGCTAATTTGTACGAAGTGTTTAATAGTGAGATCGGTCTCCAGTTCTTTAAAAATTGACGAGGTTTATCCCCTTTAGGCAACAAAGTAATAATACCGTACTGCTGAGTAATAGAAAGTTCACCGGTTTCATAACCAAAATTAAGGGACCGTAATAAATACCACGATAAATCGTTGAAAAAAAACTTGTAAAATTCAAAACTAAAACCATCTGAGCCCGGGGACTTACCATTTTTTGTGTTCTTCAAAACATTTAATATTTCTTGATGGGACAGGGGGCCCTCTATGCTATCACGTACCTTATTTGAAAGAACTGGAGAGTCAGAATTCTCAAAAATAGATTGTAAATTTACTGTTGTTTCCCCTTCTGAAGACGAGTACAGTTTTTTATAAAAATAACGTGCCTCTTGTATAATATCCCTAGAGGATTTTAATTCTGTACCATCATCATTAATAACACGATTAAAAGTCTTGTTAATACAATTACGTTTCTCCATATTAAGGAAGTATTTGGATGGTTTTTCACCGTGTTCCATCCACCTTGTTCTAGATCTAATCATTACACCATCCAATTTAGTCTTACGAAGATTAACAAGGCTAGTTTGTTTAGACTTCAATGTACCCAACAGACTATCATCACCTTGAGCAACCTTATTAGACAAATCTTTAATTTCGTTTTCGAGACGAGATTCATCTCTGCAAGCACTCTTTTTCTTCCAGGCTGCAAAAGAAATTGTTTTAGTTCTAATCACCATTAATAGCATTTCAAAAAAAAGTTGATCATTAATAATAAAGTGAATATCTCTGGGGTGAATGGTGTGTAAATTCGAGCGTAAATAAGGGAAAGCTGCGTAAGTTTCTACAACATCAGTAATAACTTTTTTCACCTGGTCAACATAAGTTTTATCTGCAAGAAGCGAATTGTTAAATTTCCAATAACCTGGTCCCCTCTCGATCTGATTGAAATCGAAACAAATATCAACCAAGGAATGGTCTGTCCGATAACCTGGCTCAATTTCAGATGAAACAAAATTGGAACTAAGTTCAGAAGATATTAAAAAGAAATCCAGCCTAGACTGTTTCAGTGTAGAATGCTGTCTCCAAGTATATCTCCTGCAGTTTGGGTTTTGAATACGCCACGGGTCAATAAGGTCAAGGTCCCTACATAGACCCAACACCCTCTTTCTTGCTAAAGGATTGTTGACATGAAGATAATTATCACAGTCTTAATTTCCGTCTAAAACTAAATTCCAGTCGCCACAAATAATTGTGTGAGGGTTATCAAACTCAGAAATAATATTATTAATATTCTCGTAGAAATCTGGATCATCCCTGTTTGGACCATATAAATTAATCAGCGTAATATTATGATTATGTGTATCCAAACTAAGACTAAGAGCCAAAAAATTTCCATTTACATCAATATTGGAACCAAGAATTTTAAAATCGAACGTATTGTTAAAAAGAATAGCCACGCCTCTGGCATTACTTTTATAAGAAGAGAAGTAACAGTCCAGCCCCCACTCAGCCCTAAACCTGTCTTGCATGGAGTCTGAACAATGGATGTCTTGCAGACAATAGATGGAATACTGTTTTTGCGATCATGACGTCCACGCCTTCTCGTTTCCTTCCCAATTTGCTCATATTAATATGCTCATATTAATATGAAATGTGATACTGCATGTTTCTCGATAAGATCGTAACAGTTTAATTCAATAAATCGTGCCGGTTTTCGAAACTCACGCCATGCTCGCGCTGCGACGAATTGACTCTGGTTTTTACCCCAGACACCGCATACAAAAGCAAACGCTAATGTAACGCACATGCAGGCACCAGACTATTCCTCATTTGCATACGTGTTCAAAAATCTTGCACATGCAAATGATCCAATACCAGGGTGAGAGAGCAGGTACTGGTGGGCGCGTACTGCTGGACACCCTGGGGACGAGGCTGGGTCTATACAGCTAACAGAACCAATACAGTCTCATGCACGAATATTAATAAATCTACTGACCTGGCAAAATCCAGACGTACTTGGCGCCATACATCTTCTGTTGGTAGGCTGCACAGAAAACCCTCCTGGCCATGTAGCCATAGAAAGCTCCTATTATGATGCGAGCTCCAATATTCTGCAACAACAGAGGCTTACTCTCAAGAAACAGTGAGTAGTACATGGCATTGTGACCAAAAACACAGACAGAGATATGGAAATTTTAAAAAGAAATCATTTCAAGTTATTTTTTCATTCAAACTAAAATGAACAGGTGAATTTCTTGCCTTGATGTTTGCAATCTGTGTGGTTGGATTATCAATAAAACTTTCCGCTGCAATCACCTCGATTCCGGCATCTTTGGCGTCGCGGTGAAAGGCCGCCATTGTCTGTAGGTTTAAAAAAAAACCAGAAAACAAAAAACAAAATCACTTACTCAGCATTATTTATACGGACTCGTTCATGAAAATCATAACTGTTTCGATTCACGATACTGATTGGCTTCCGGTCTGTTCATCAACAGTGCGCATTGACCAATAAGATCGCGACTTTTGGTCAGGTGACCGCGGTAAATGGGTCAAACTCGGTCACAAGAACTGTGAAAAATGTACATGAACCAAAGGTGGGTGGGGCTTACTGAAGATTCGATAGAACATAATTTGTTTTTTTAATTGACGTCACTGATGACGTCACTGAAGTCGAATACAGTTTTTCTTTCGTGGGGGATGAAAATGCTTAAACTTACTAGGGAAAAGATGGCGGCAGATTGGTGAATCGTGGCCACCTTCTTCCAGTTGAACTGTTTGCACAAGGCGACCCTGACAGCGTTGATCACAAAGTCAGTCGGAGCCAGGCGGAAAAATCGAGGAAAGAGACCGCGGTCGGACAGCTTTGGTGAAGTTGAGGCGTAGGAGATCTTTGCAACGGAAATAAAAATCAAAGGTTTTGAAGATGACAGTGAATAAGGTAACAAAACTATGTACATTTCATTTCCTTCGGATTTTAACTGTTTGTTTGCCCTTTGTGCTATCTCATAATTTCTCTTACACCCAATACCTAGGATTGTGTGTTCAGTTTAATGTCTATTTGCTAATCTCTCACTGTATCTGTTTGTCTGTCGTGTGGGATGTCCGTCTGTCGTGCGGTCTGTCTAGATCTGTCTGACTGTCTGCCTCTCTGACCTTTCAAGTGTCTTAGCTTAGCTGTCTTTAGGACAGAATGGCATATACCCTCTTTCTAAAGGCTTCTTGAGAACTACATCTACTTATATGAAGAATCTCATCAAAGCTTGTGCAGCATCTGGATGAGGGACTGAAATGACATCAAGCAACAGCGCCCTCATGTATCATGAAAAGCATGGACAATATATGATGTTTAAAAAAATGCAGTTTTCATTAAATTAACCAAAAAGGATGTCAAATAGTGTCCATACATTTTCAGAGGAGTACGAAGTTGCAAAAAAAAAAAAAAAAATTCAAAGTCAGATTCGTGTCAGATCCCTTTAAGACATACATTTGCTAAGCAATTTGTATCTGCTTATCAGCCCCAGATGAGCTGCCCTCTGTCGTTCTAACCTGGATGAGGTTCCAGTGATGCGACGCCTGCGCAGTAGGCTCGGTGGCAACAGAACAGAACCCACCGATGATCATGATCTTAGTGGTTGATTGGTTGTACAGCTCCCTGAACATTCCATTAATAGCCTTGCCTCCGTCGCACTGGAGAGAATACAAATTGTCTAGGCAGGTTCATTTTGTTTTTGTCTTCGACAAAATCAACTTATTTAGCCTTGATTTGGCACTAAATCCCCTCAGAAAAGAAAGTTGATATTTTCTTGGTATAAAGTACACGCAGTACTGTGAAAGGTTGATGACATGAGCAAAATAATAATAAACACGTCAATATACCAAGTTTAAAAGGAAATGCAGTTTGAAAAAAAAGCGATCGTGTTTTGTTGGAATAAATAATACCATTTTGAACAAGGCATAATTGGGCAAACCTTTATTTCTAATTATCAGCACGTGCCAGTCTTCAGTGAGAGACCCCACAAACTCTGAAGCCATTTTGCTGCGTAAGCACGCAGAATTATTAGACGTGACAAGCAAAACAAAAAAAACACAAACACAATTCTGATTAATAAAAACCACGATCAGTATACCATGATCTACAATTATAGCAATAACACAAATCTTTTCGAAAAGCATTAAGTCATTACAACTCTGGAACCAAAATCTGTAGCCTGAGTCGACTTCTGAAAATAGCTTTAAACATCCTGAACACAATGAAGAGTAGTAAAAGGAAACCCAAAATAGGGACGGATTTAGGTAGGAAAGGACATGTAATCCATTCGGACGTGGGGATTCGAACCCGGGTCATCAAAGAGGACGACGCAGAAATACCAACTTGACTGCCTGACTTAAGCACAGTTTATAAATAATAATACAAATACATATGGGGGCTACACCATACTTAGTCTGAGTATCACCGTTACCCTGTATAACGTCTGATATGTCTAGACATGCAGATATATGCAAGCCATGCGCCAGCCAATCGGAGTCGACTTTACAAAATCGTGACGTCATTTCATTCTCAAATCCGGACTAAATGGTTTGATTGGTCAATTCCAATACAGTGTTTTGTACTACAACAACAGCCGGGCGCATTATCGCGTAACATGATACAGAGCGCGTGACACAGGTTTTTTTTTCATCCATTGTCTTTGACGCGAAACGGGTGAATGACCGAGGACCCGATGTAGAAAGTGCCCGCTGATTGGTCAAAATCTAGAGGTCAAGAGGCCGTTGTCTTGCCTAATTAATAAGGGAATCTGCTCACATTATCATATAAAAGGACGCGGCTACCTTGTGGTTGAGCCGAAGACATGTAAAGGCGCCTTAAGCAGTCATCATACAACCCGTGTCGGACCACGGAGCACAACCAGATCGAAGTGTTGATCTTATGCTGATGGAGGAAAACCGGTAAAACCGTACAAAGACCCTCGTGGCACCGGGTAGATTCAACGAACAACACTACTCACAAAATGACCTCAGCAGGGAATCGAACCCGAGCCACTGCGTTAAGAGTCGAACGCTTTACGCACTGCGCCACTACTCCACCCTAGTCCATGTCTTTACACTGCATGAGAAAAGCAAACAATTTGTATCTTACCCCCGAATCTCTAGGTATGATGACCAACTCGTAGTCAGGAAGAATATCAGGGTTAGCGTTGATGTCTTGAAGAGCTAGCTGGGCGGCCGGCTGGATCGCTTGGTCCTGGGCGTACGGTCCGTCCAACGGGAACAACCCAAGCAGATACAGCTTGGTCTGGTTTGAAGCATCAACGCTGGGATATTTTGCGACGATTACGAGACAGAACACGAGCACGGACACGGTGCATGACATCTTCATGTCTTTCGGCAGAGTGCCCTATCAACATTGAAGCACAAAAGGAGAGTGCTCATCCTTTTATACGAAATATGGTCGGGGATGAGGGGAACCACACAGTGCTGAGACAGAGCCTGCAGGCATAATCCAAAGTAAATAGCTCGAATCACTATGATAACAGTGTAGCCACGGTCAGTGACGCACGACAGTGTCTAGAAAAGTGCATCGAAATGCTCTGAAACTTTATTAATCAATTAATATGCAGGTGGATAACCTTACATTAGTGCGAGTGCGTTCGAATACTTCCCCCGCGCTTACTCGTGCAAGTGCGACAGCGTTCGATTTACTTTTCTCGTGCCTTCTCACGCTAACTCGAGCCTGGCCCAAGTAACCGACTAGCCGAGCCGGTTAATAGTTGGGTAAGTATCCCATAAGGCCATGCAATCAACATGGCCACCAACGTGACGTCCGGCGGGCGCCTCAGGCCGTGTGCTTCCAGAGCTACTGCTGCGTCTATTGTCAGCCCGTCCCCGCGTATTTTCAATGGGCGCGGACCTAGACCTAGCTATCGACAGTTGATTCGGATGCAGCCTCAAAAGTAAAACTTTCCAGCAGCTCTGCACGAAACTTTACCCGAAACCGTTCGTTTAGTTAGCTCCACTGTGCATGTCTGTCATCACGCGAGGAGCCAGGCGCGAGTAAACTGGGGGAAGTAATCGAACGCACTGCTTATATCTACACAGATCGAGTCAGGAAATGATATGAAAGGCAGCGTTTAACTTCCGGAAATGGGGATGGTTTCCTCCGATGCATGTTGTTTATTCGGTTTTGTTTCCAGAGTAATGGTTGGCCTTTTGTATAAGATGAGAGAAAATGAACATCATTGGAAAAAAACAAAAGATACACAATGTATATCCACCGTAGTGACAAAATGAATTTGTAAGCTACGCGCGTGGCCGAATAACATTTGAAGTCTTTCTGTTAGATTTAATTATTAAAACTCAAGGACTCAACCTCCAGGCTATAACCTATTGATGCAGGCCCAGCCTCTGCGTAATGCATTTAGCATTGAAATGTTAATCCAGCTCTTGAAAAGAGAGTGCACGTGCCAGGACCTGTTCATTCAATTTGGAAAGTCTCCCTTTAAAGTTAAAAATAAACACCGCTTGTTGTCTTCATTTTATTGTTAACAGTCAGGCTGAAACGCACGTTCTCGACGAAAAAAACCTTTGGGAACATTCGATGGAAAAGCCGGTCCCGTATCTATTATAAGTACATGTATGAGTGAAGAAATATTGAAATCGTTTTCATAACCACTACAAGCCGAACTACCTTTGAGACTGTGTGTCGTCGGAGGATGTAAAAGACTTAGGTTTCCATCTAGAGTCAAAATTTACATAAATTTACTTAGGCTGTTCTTGCAACAACACAAGACCTTTCCATATTACCAAGAAAAAAAATTGCAAGATCGCCTACATTGGAAGGTATATTACGCAGGAAATCACGTTGGAATGTGTCGTTCCATGTCAGACGACTTTGTTTATCATATATAACTCATTGCTTCATAGGCATTGGTCAAGTGAGATATTGGAGTCCCTAATAACCTGATGTCGTTTTTGTTTTGTTTTTAATGTTGCTGTTTATTTTTAAGACAAAAGACGCTAACTATATTAAAGTGTTAATTTCAATTACATAATTTTATTCTTTTTATTTAGTATAAAGTTATTTTAATGTTAGTTCTGTATTAGATATTTAGTTCTAATAAGAACTTGTCCTGTTAATTATCAACTTTCGCTTAAGTAGTTTTAGTTCTGATAAGAACAGTCCTGCTTTAAGCTCTAAAAGAACTTGCGTTTGGTCTCAACGTTTCGACTAGCCTGTTCTATTCATCGTCAGGAGACTCATTTTAGACTTGTACTTTTCCAATTAGTTTCAAAACAGGTACCTACCATTATCATTGCATTATAAGCCTTAAAATGAATCCATTTAAAAACAAAGTCATTCCTAGAAATTAAGGAAATTCTTCCTCAAGTTCGGACTGTATGTGTTTCCAATGAGCCAGTTCGGTATTCCAACTGCGCATGTGCACATGCACATCAAGATTTGACGATTTTTCTTTCGGGATAAACATTTCATCGTATGCGTGCAAAAGCATAGAAGGGTACCAGCAACATTGAAGACATCGTAGTGTTCGGAAGTAACATTTTGCAAAATAAAAGTGTGGACAGCAAAGTGTTTTAGGTGTCTAATTGTGTGTCCAAATTTTTTTTGTGCGAAAGAAAGGTCCTATCTCGTTTCGATTGCAAGAAAAATTACACAGAATGTAGATTCGGTTTACCACGTCATCTGTAGCCTTGTGTGCATATATCTGCCGCATTTATCCTGAAAAAAAGTCGTCGAATCTTGCTGTGCACCAGACTATTTTGGAATACCTAACTGGCTGATGAATATAGTATCCGTTGTAGCGCCCCCATTCGCTACCCTTTGGCTACAATAATACATTGCAAGTATTAGTGCGCGCCTGTCTAAGGCAACATCCGAGGCCAAGTTTGCGCAAGGACTATAGTTGACCAATGGTTAACTAACGTTTGCCCGAACTCTGTCTAGTCGACGGTGGTTGACTACGCTAGTCGACTATTTGGAACCAGCCTACTGGGGTTGGTTGCTTCGCTGGTAACCAATAGCCGCGCGCATTCATAACGCTAGCAGAGAGCCAGGATCCAGAAGTTTTGCGATGACATTTTGACCAGCGTTTGACTAGGGACGTTCGCACGTTGCTACCAGTGCGCAGGCGTAAGGTACGTCACAAATCAACCACTAGTCGACTAATGGTCCTTGCCCGAACTTGGCCCGAGTTTGGCTATGGTTGGAAATAACACACGGTACCGGGTCTAGGGGAAGCAGCGGCAGCCTCCTGCCACAGCGCCCCCAAGCGGTAACAAATGAACACCTATTGCATAGACTGGAATGCTTTGAATGCCGAGTCGCCAGTGGTATCCTTAACTTTCCTGGCGATTCTCTTGGTGATGGTGTCGCAGGATTGATAGCGTAGATGCGGCTCATCGCACAGAATGATCTCCTCGATCACGGGACCTATCTCCTCGGGTTGCTGGTTCTCCTTCATCAGTCGAGACATGTCTTTCTCCCAGAACTCGGCGAACTTCTTCCTGGCCCCGTCGTCCCAACTGTGGCTCACGTACTCCGGTTTGAATTCGGCGTTCAATACGGCTTTCACCTGCGGCGTCATGACGGTGCCTGGCTCAAAAATGATCAGCCTGTGGAGAAAGGGACAATATTGATGCATGGTCGGCTTGTACAGTGCTTATCGGTGTATATTCCGTGCATGGGAAGTATCCCGACAACCGGACAATGCTGGGAGGGGCGCCTTGATACCCCCACCCCACCCCAATGTTTGTGCTAAACTCACGTACACATAGAAGAATAATATTCTTGTAAAAACATTAAACAGATAAAGGTAAGAGGAACATCCAACTAATCGATCAAACTTTTATATAAAGTTAACATTGCAAATCATCAGTAACAAAATGTAGTGCACGGAAATGTACAATATGCAAAGCCCGATATGAGGTATACAGTGTACAAAACAAACTATAATATACAGCGCAACATAGTGTCCAGAAAATTAGAAAGAGTTCATCAAAGAAAAGAGAAAATGTGAACCTGATGTTGTAAGTCTTGCGGAGAACCAGAGCGAGGCTCTCAGACAGTCCCTCCAAAGCGAACTTCGTGGCTCCGTAAAAGCCTATGAAAGGTGATTCTATATGTACAGCATAGAGGAAAAAAAGTTCAGTTATTGGGTAGCAAGATACGAGGTTACTTGCTAAGTAGATTGGTTGAAAGGTAAGAAGATAATAGCTCAGTGTGTTAATGACAACTAGTTAACACGATTAGCGGATCGATTGATGGAATTGGGATTTTTTTTTGACTTAGTGATTTGGTTGATGTATGTACACTGAAATGTAATCTTCAGGGTTGATAGTTATTATTAGTGGACCATAAACGATTGAGAAGCGGTTAACTTGGTAATTGGATCGGTTGATCTAATGAGGGATATTTGTTACTAAACTGGGTGAGTTGATTCGTTAATTAGTGAGGAGGAAATAGTTTTACACGGTTTGATAAATATTGCTTTGTAGGTTTGTTACTTTGTTAGGCCTATAGGCCTACTTTGTAGGAACTATAGTTAACTCGTTAAGAGGAAAAACTGATCGAGTGAAGGATTTATAAACTTGGTTTGGGTGGTTAGGTAATGAGATGTAAATCGGTGGGTTGAAGATTAAGCAGTATTTCACCTGTTATCCCTGATTCACTGGTGGTGTTAATAATCCGGCCTGATTTCTGTTTCTTCATGTATGGCAGCACTGCCTTCATGACCTGAGCTGGACCCCACAAATTGACGTCCATCATGGCCTGAGCTTGGTCGAGAGAGGCCAGCGGCTCGCCAAAGAACATATCATCCATGAATGTAATCCCTGCATTGTTCACTGAGAGATTTAAGATGACCAGCGGTCGGTTTCAGTTCAGTTCAGTTCAGTTCATTTTCACGGTACCAAAACAATATCATCAATGACAATGACAATCTTATAGAGAACAGCAGAAAAACATATTGAATAAAGTCGAAGGTAAGCAAACAATAAGTATGAAAGATACTCTGGAGGGGCCCATAAAGAAGCAGAGCTTGTAAAAAATGGGCATGCGTATGCATTGAGCCGAATAATAAGACTTTGTTTTTGTTAATTTGTTTTGGTAGAAAACAATTGTACAAGAAAAGTAGAAACCAAGTGTGCGAGTAAACAAGTGCATGAAAATGAGTACTCGTAATTGGGCCCGTACATCAGTATATGAATGACCAGGCTCAATGCATGACACCATTAAAGTTGACTTGATTTATCTCACCCACAACGTCAATTCTCCCGTTATCTCGTATAATCTCGTCCACCAGCGTCTGGATCGTGTCTGCCTTGGTGACGTCGACTTCCCGAATAAACAGTGTCTTGTCGACTGCTTCACCAGCGGCCGATTCCAGGTCACCCTTTTCGGATAGCTTCAAGACAGTGGCGTAAACCTATTCGTGAAACCACAAGAAAATCATCTTCGAAGTACTGACGGAAAACAGAAATCCTAGATTCGGTGATAACGGTCTTTCATAACATTCACGAGAGAAAAACAGTTCTTCGAAAATATAAAACGAGGCTCGGGTAGGGATGACATTGTCTACGCAATCACACTTAACCTCATCGGAAGTGAAAACGAAAATAAGATTGTAAGTCTCCTGTGCAATCGATATATAAATATCTGTATGCAATGGAATTCTTAATCTTACTCTTATTCCCAAAGTTATTCTTAGTCTTGGATTCAAGGTTTCGATTGTTGATTAGGCCTATGAGTGAGTCGATCACGCACTTTGCGATTCGCGCAGCTGGTTTCGACTGTTGACGCAACGAACAGAGTGAGCGGTGTAAGCCAAGATCAGTCGTACTTACGCACTACAATAAGTTGCATATTCCTACATGAAAGACGTCATTTTCAAAAAGTTCTGAAAAGTTGAATATTGCTCCAGTTACCTTAAAGTCGTGCTTGGATTTAGTAGCCAGATGGAGGGCTTCAGCCAGCCCGATACCGGACGAACAGCCAGTTATTAACACGACAGTCGGGGCCATCTTTGCTTATTTACGAGTAATTGCTCAAGACAAAAGTCCTGGTTAATGGAGACTGGTCATACAGATATTTGCGTGCGATATTCATCAAAGCAGCCCAAAGCTTGCTTTTAGCGGTGACCCGACCTTTAGCCATTAACACTTATCTAGGCTTATTCTTATTACTCACAAGACCATTTTTCATTGTTTGCAAACGGCTCTTATCTCAGTTACCGAACCTCGGGGTCACTGCTGAAAGGACCAAACGACAGGACTTTGTGTCTATACTCCAAAAATATCTGGAAATTGGACTGACCCTATTTCGGGAACATGACATGATAAGAAATTAAACAATTATCAGTGGCGTGGAAAGGTCATTTGGGGGTGGGTAGACGTGAAAACGGGCACTCGCCTCATCCGTGCTGAAAGGTATAAGCAGGTTTTATTCTCACCTGGGGGGGGGGGGGGGGGGTGTCAGCACCATCTTCCTATAGGCGTGCTGTTTAAAACGTACGATAATAGGCACATTGGAGAAGAGGTGGCGCTATTCATGGCGGCACAATAATATTGCCCACGTTCAAACAAAAGGCGCTCGTGAAGGGCACTCGTTAACAAAAGAGCAATCGTTACACAATATTTGGGGTTGGGGTTGGTAGGGTAATTACCCCCTTACCACCACCCCACGCCCCGGATACGCCACTGAATACTCACTGGAATTTGTCCATCTCGGAAACGACGTTTAGGAAGATGACTTTAAACACATCAATTTCTATAGTGTTATAGTTCATTGGTAAGTTATCCTTGCCCTCACACAGCGAAAAGTAAAGCGATAAACAACTAAACAAGAAAGTGTTGTTTTCTGTGTAATTCAGTTACACTTAAAAATTATACATGTGCTTAATTTTGACGAATTTTGTCTATAGAATAACACTTTTGTAATAAAAAACAATAAGAATACATTAGTTGAATTTTTGCTGCACTTTCAGTAAAGAATGATTTTGTATTTGTCTTTTTTTATCTTCTTTAATTTTGAAATGTCTGGATAATGTGGAGCTTTCAACATTTTTCTTCACTATACATGTCGTCGGTGTTTGGAGCCTTATTTCGCAAGCACTCAATCTTCGATGCGTCATTTTACTTTGTACCAAATAAAGTTAATCAATTACACCTGTTAATGGTACCCGAAGGAGACCTTTTGTCGTCATAAGTTATACCTTAAGGAGACACCGGACATCAGGGAGATATTTCAATGTCTCTCTAATGTCACAGCTCCTATTAAAAGGCAAAAGTTTAATGTCGCAAATAGGCTAGATCGATTGTTCGTGGTCCAAAACATAAATATACCGAAATTCGTGTGGGTAGGAATAAGGTAAAATTGGGGTTAGTTGACATTAAAATTGGAACAAGGTTGTCCACAAGACTATGGGAATGTCTCCCAAACGACACATTATCGTACTCATTATTATCCTGATCGTTATACACGTTACTTTCATTAGGCCTGCACGTTACATAATTTGAAAATATTATAGGCCTAAAAAAATACTATAGGCCTAATGATCTGAAGCAATTTGATTTTTTGACACAGATATTTAAATGTATTAAAAAAACATTTAGTTCGGATTTGTGTCATAATTCTCAGACTTTTTGAAATTGACTGACTGGTTGCGATTACATTAACGGCTCGCCTGTGTAAGCCTCCCCAAAATGCTGAGGCCACAGCGCCCCCAAGCGGTCACACAATCATGAGCTATTGCATAGACTGGAATGCTTTGAATGCCGAGTCGCCAGTGGTATCCTTGACTTTCCTGGCGATTCTCTTGGTGATGGTGTCGCAGGATTGATAGCGTAGATGCGGCTCATCACACAAGATGATCTCCTCGATCACATGACCTATCTCCTCGGGTTGCTGGTTCTCCTTTATCAGTCGAGACATGTCATTCTCCCAGAACTCGGCGAACTTCTTCCGGGCCCCGTCGTCCCAACTGTGACTAATGTACTCCGGTTTGAATTCGGGGCTCAATAAGGCTAACACCTGTGGCGTCAAGACGGTGCCCGGCTCAAAAATGATCAGTCTGTGAGGAACAAAACACGAAACTATATCTGATAAAGAGATCGCTATTATATCGAAGGGAGTAGTTGCGAGGTCGTAAATACATGTAATGAGAATGGGAAGGATTTTTCGCCCGACACACCTAATTTGGAATACTAGGTAGAGAGGCCATGCATTGGATCATACCTGTCTGAGATTTTTTGTATCCTAAACACCAATATACTAATGTCTCTGTTGTAAAAAAAAAAAAGCGAAAGAAAAGTATAGTAGCATTAACGCAATTTTTTATTGAAATTTAAAGTTATACGACTTTAAACCACATTGACATAATGGTCGCAAACGTGCATGTACATGTACATAGACACATAGATATATACATGTACATGTATACGAGTTTGCAAAATATACAACGCCATGTATAGGGGCAAATGGTGTTCAGCAAAAATAAAAATAATTTAAAATGAAATTTTAAAAGCAAAAAAAAATGTGAACCTGATGTTGTAAGTCTTGCGGAGAACCAGAGCGAGGCTCTCAGACAGTCCCTCCAAAGCGAACTTTGTTGCTCCGTAGAAACCTATGAAAGGTGACTCTGTGGATACATTGTAGAAAAATAAAAATGACAGCCTGAGTTTTGAGGAATTTTAATTACTTTTTGTGGATTTCTTTCTTCCATCTCTTTACCCAGGGTATGCCCAAATAGTTTTAAATTGTTTTTTTTTATTGGGTCCTAAATGGTTTGTAAATAAGGCCAAAAAAATTAAATAGGTCGGTCTCTGGTCAGCGCGCGCGTCGATTTTAATCATGCGCGTTTTTTTTTCCAAAATGTTCCACGATAGCTCCAACAGCGCCATCTATTGCCGCACCTCCTCAATTGTTTTTTTAACAAAGAGCACCAAGGAATGGGAAATTGCACCAAGGCAAATGATCGAAAGAACCAAGGCAAATTATGGAGGACACCAATGTACGTGAGGACACCAAAAAAGCAAAATAGTACCCCACCTTGTATGTACAATCCAAGCTTGAAAAAAAAAAAGCAACCCCCCCAAAAAAAGCCGCGTCGCCGCGTCAATTCCGGAACTTTGGTCTGACCAGAGACCGAATATTTTGTTTTTGGCCTAACAGAAGAGAAACTATAACGTTCTGGTGAGTGGCTTAGCTGATGGAATTTGGGTAATCTACTTTGAGTGGGCAGATTTCATACAATGTGAGATGTTAAATTGGTAGGTTTTTGATTCATAATGGTGACTCATTGACAAAGTTATAACCAGTTAACTTAGCAATTGGTTTAGTTGATCAATTAGTGAACTGGTTTATAAGGTCGGTTGGTTTAATTGGTTGGGGTTAGCAAAAACTAGTGATAACCAGCTAATTTGTTAAGTTAATTGGTTGATGATCTGGGACATTGTTTTAAACTTGGTGGGATGGTTAGCTTGAGTTAGTTGTGGAAGAGTAGGTTGTTAGTTGAGATCTGTAGGCTATTATGTTGTTCGTTAGATTAATTGGTTGATCGAGTGAAGGATTTTATAAACTTGGTTTGGATGGTTAGGTAATGAGATGTAAATCGGTGGGTTGGTGATTATAATTAAGCAGTATTTCACCTGTTATGCCCGATTCACTGGTGGTGTTAATAATCCGGCCAGACTTCTGCTTCTTCATGAACGGCAGCACTGCCTTTATGACCTGCGCTGGACCCCACAAATTGACGTCCATCATGGCTTGAGCTTGGTCGAGAGAGGCCAGCGGCTCGCCAAAGAACATATCATCCATGAATGTAATCCCTGCATTGTTCACTGAGAGATTAAACAGATCAAAAGGAATAAAAGGTTATCTGTACAAACAATATTATGCACCAAACACCAAGCATAATATCGTGAAATGATGAACAACAAAATTAAGGCTTTTATTTTTCTGCTTCTTTGAAGAAAGTCAAGTTTGAAGATTTGCATTATTGCACAGATAAGGCAAACATATTGCGTTCATTAAACATTGTAGTACAGAGAAGAGCACTGCGTTTTAGTGAAGAGAGTATAAATGAGTTTTTAGAGTTGCATTGTACAGTACACGTTATTGAAGGAGATGCTTTGACTAAATAATTGCTTTTTATAATTTTAGGCAGTGCCACGGGTTATTTCTACACTTTTTTTCTAGTCATTTCAATTTTCAGTTTGAAACGACATATCTTACCGACAACGTCGATTCTCCCATTATCTCGTATAATCTCGTCCACCAGCGCCTGGATCGTGTCTGCCTTGGTGACGTCGACTTCCCGAATAAACAGTGTCTTGTCGACTGCGTCACCTGCGGCCGATTCCAGGTCACCCTTCTCGGATAGCTTCAAGACAGTGGCGTAAACCTATTCGTGAAACAACAGAAAAAATATTTTTAATAATGGAGCGTTGTCAATTCGTGGATTTGTTAAAAAATAGTATTATTCAATGATCAGAGAAAAGAAAATCTTTTTTTTTGAAAATGGGATATTGATGAGATGAAATCGATATAGGGATGGATCAAATTGCCTGCCTAGCCCATGAGGAGAATATCCCTGTGCAATATGTTTTATATATCCATGTCATATCGAAAACTTCAAAAGGCAACGATAGCGTAAACGCCAAACTTTGCTATCCCTGGCCCCTAGTCTTGGGCTCAAGTCGTCGATTGGTAATCATGGGCGTGCTCCGCACTACATTGGAGCAGTTTGTTTTGACCTTTGACCCACTATAGGAATATCTGACAAGCGCATCACCATAAAAATGGATATATATATATATAAAGTCTCCAATTTTCTAAAGTTCACTAAATATTAGTTTGGAAATTGCTTCAGTCACCTTAAAGTCGTGCTTGGATTTAGTGGCCAGATGGACGGCTTCAGCCAGCCCGATACCGGACGAACAGCCAGTTATTAACACCACAGTCGGCGCCATTTTTGCTTCAAGACCAAATCGACAAAGACACAAATTCTTGGCTAACGAATACTGCTTGTACAGAGGGTTGCTTGCGATTGATGAATGCAGCCTAATGCTTGGTTTTAACGTCGAACGAATGCCGCATTTTACCTGACCTTTAAACATTGACACTTTAACATTCTATTTATTGATCAGACGAACATTTGTTTTTATTTGCACACCTCTCTTATCTCTTTCTATGGGCTATGGATCGTGACCAAAGTCAGAAGTTCACTGATAATTTTAAAGCTTGACTGGCTTTGACTGACCCAATAGAAAACCACCTTGATACCGTGCACAAGTTAAAGGAGGGCACTCAAATCTTTCAAGCTTGACAATGAAAAGACGACAAGGTTTTGTGGATAAGTATTCAGTGCGACATTTCAGTTCAAGCTAGATGATTAATCATTCATTGGAACTAGAGCAGTTTTGTTTAAAAAGACCTGAGCTGCACTGTTAGGATATTTCTTAAGCAAATATGCCTAGAAATATAAGGACTTACTATCGTTTGGACGCATTCAATACAATTTTAGGCGAGTATTTGTAAGGTTATCCATATGTAATTGTTATTGTATAATTGGCCCATTATTTTGGGAATATGCTTACATAAGCAAAGCTTTTCTAGAGTTTAAATGCAGAAACGTTTTCCCAAATGTCCCGTTAAATTAAACAGTTTCGTAATTGGAATTGGAATTCACGTCACTGTTAAGCCAATAATACGTGACTGTTTTGCCCTAAATCACTAGCATACCAAATATTCGACTGCACAAGTACACGCAACACAATTTTACACTAACTTCAAAAATCTGATACATATTTGTTGAATATATTGGTCTATACACTTTCAACTTCAACTAGGTTTAAGTTGCCAGTAATATCACTATTGCCGATAACAGCAGCGCCCACCGTGTCAGTAACATATAGAAGACAGTCTCGTTTGTGAGAAGACGTTTTAAACGTGTGTTTACAAAGTGTTGGAACATGAAGTTGACGAATCGGCATGGCCCTGGGCGTGCTCGATGTTGAAAATACTTGTTGACGAATTTTTCCGGTTTGGATGTTTTGCGCCAGAACACCATCCTGAGCGCCTAACGGTAGCGCAATTAAGTTGGTGACGATGGCAGACGAGCCCTGTTCGAAGTCATAAAGTGTACCTAATTGAAGTTCATATTCGATGAGTAATTTCACTTCTACTAAATTTCATGCGACACTTAAAAAGTGTTTTAGTCTTTTTTTCTTCACAGACTCAACATTTGTTATCCGCGCCGCTGTTAAGATCCGAGTATCACCCGTTATCCACGGAGCCCAGTCTCCTATTTAACGTCTGATATGTCTAAACATGCAGATAATATGCAGATATGCAAGCCGCGCGCCAGCCAATCGGAGTCGACTTTACTAAAATCGTGACTTCATTTCATTCCCAAATCAGGACTTATGGTTTGATTGGTCAATTCGAATGCAGTGTTTTGTAATACAACTACAGCAAGGCGCAAATCGCGTAGCATGATACAGAGCGCATGACACAGTTTTTTTGTATCGAACCCTTTGACGCGACAACGGGTGAATGACCGAAGACCCGATATAGAAAGTGCCCGCTGATTGGTCAAAAATCTAGAGGTCAAGATGCGATTGTCTTGCATAATCAGTCAGCAAATCTGCTCAAATGCAATAGACCATGGCGAATAATTTATTACGTAAACTACTTTGAATGTTCAGATTGGTTTTGACTGATCCCCCATAAGACTGCTTTGATACCGTATACAGGTACGGTCAAAGGAGTTCACTACAAAGTCTTTCAACTTTGCAATGAAAAGACGACAAGGTTTAATGAATAAATATGGAATGTGACATTTAAAGTCGACTTATGGAACTACACCAATTTTGTTTAAAATTGAGCACCACTATGATATTTACCAAGCAAATATACCTAGAAATAACAGGAATTATTTCAATCAACTTTTGTATCAATGCTTCAGTACAATTTTAAGCGTTTTTTTTTTCTTTCTACAATCCATAACTCAAATTAATCGGCACACTATTTAGAAACACAACGGCAACTATGTTTACATACACGAACTATTTTTTAGTGCTTGCAAACAGAAGCGTTTTTCCAAATGCCCTATTAATACCATTAAAAGCATATTTCTGAAAATTTTGAATTTGAATTTTCGAGGCAAATAATAAGTGACTGTTTGGCAACCATTCTTACTTAAAATTAGCCCTTCAATTTGTCCTGATCTGATATTAATTTAATAAAGATATCTATATACAAACTCTCGTCTGCCCAAGTAAAAGTAACACAACTTCGCAATAACATCAACAATCAGATACAAAAAGATGAATCTTAAGCTCTACACATGATTGTAGATTAAAGATGCAAACAAGAAAACAGTATTCGCGAAAATAACAGAGCTACAAGTGTCAGTTAACTTAAGAGAACAGCTTTTGAGAAGAAGTTTTGAAAGTGTGTTTTGTCAAGCATTGGTAACTGAAGTTGACGGATCTGCCTGACGCTGGGCGGCATGTTGGATGTTGAAAATACTTGTTGACGAATTTTCCGGTTTTGATGTTTTGCGCCAAAACACCATCTTAAACGCCTCACGGTAGCGTGAGTTTGTGATGTTATACACGACAGGATTAATGGAGGAGTTAACATAAGACAACAAGCGGAAAACCCAAATCACAATGGCTTCCTGTTCTGCAGACAGAGGGTAATAATCAAATATTTCTGAGATAGATATCACAATAAAGTAACACTCCAATGGCGAGAGGAGCAGAAAGAACAATCCTCCAGTCACTAGAACCATCCTGTCCACCGCGTTGCGCGCGTGTCGCAATTGGGCAGTGGAGTGCGTGAGCGCGCTCCGCATTGTCTTCTTGCGCCTGCGTATGGCGCGCAAGATGGCGACGTACAAGACGACGTCGATAACCAGGCTGACGAAGAATGGCAGAGTCTGTAGAGCGTACCGTACGTAGTAGAAAATCTTGGGAACGAACGAGGTATCACATTCTAGGATCTGTTGAGGGAAGTCCGAGGTTTCAAACTCGGGCGGCACGATGCAGAGAAAGGAGTAGAATCCTGGAAGCAGGCAAGCCGCGAATACGATAGCTGTCAACCAAGAGAACAAGCTGACTTTTGCTCGGCGAGTTTTGGTTTGGAGGCGCACCCTAAGCGGCCAGCAGATTGCGATATAACGATCGAAAGTCACCGCTGTGATGAAGAACGAGGATGCGAAGTACGGGGTGTCCAACAAGCCCGGCAGGAGAATGCAGCCTGGTACGAACCCAATCGGCGACATATCAAACTGGATCGGAGTCGAGGAAACCAGCACGATCTTCTCCACCGCGGCAACTAGAAGAAAGATCGTGTCTGACACGGCCAGTTGTACCATATAGCAACTAGTAGGAGACCGCATGAAGGGGACTTTGTAGACCACAAGGATGAAAGCAAGATTGGACAGGATACCGAAGACAGAGATGACCGGGATGATGTAAAACGTCATGATCTTATCTATGGGTTGATACAAGTAGAAAGATGCGTAAGGATCGTCAAGATAAAGGGTGTCATCCGGAGAGCAGTTTCCTGCGCTCATACTGAAGTCGAACGAAGAGGAAAACGAAATCGTGTCAGATGCATTCATTTTGCTGCCGGAGACGGTTAATTGGAGTTGTCTGGTATAGTCACCTCTCCAATGAGGACCTTCCGAATTGTCCCAACAATACCAAGTTTCTCCGATTAGCTCAGACACTTTCCTGCAACTCTGCGACTGTGCTTTCAGTCAGCTTCAGGTCTGTTCAACTGGAGACAGCTCGTTGCCAGGCCGGCCTTATATATCGCTAGCCTCAATACATTTGCAAATGAGAGCCGCATTTGGCAGCTTTTTATTGCATCGGTGTGTCTGAGAGACCGTCCGTATAGAATACTTCCAGCATTCAATTTCAAAAAGCTCTTTATGGTTTTCCGGTTTGGATGTTTTGCGCCAGAACACCATCCTGAGCGCCTAACGGTAGCGCAATTAAGTTGGTGACGATGGCAGACGAGCCCTGTTCGAAGTCATAAAGTGTACCTAATTGAAGTTCATATTCGATGAGTAATTTTACTTCTACTAAATTTCATGCGACACTGAAAAAGTGTTTTTGACCGCTTTGATACCGTATACAGGTACGGTCAAAGGAGTTCACTACAAAGTCTTTCAACTTTGCAATGTAAAGACGACAAGGTTTAATGAATAAATATGGAATGTGACATTTAAAGCCAACTTATGGAACTACACCAATTTTGTTTAAAATTGAGCACCACTATGATATTTACCAAGCAAACATACCTAGAAATAACAGGAATTATTTCAATCAACTATTGTTTCAATGCTTCAGTACAATTTTAAGCGTTTTTTTTTTTTACAATCCATAACCCAAATTAATCGGCACACTATTTAGAAACACAACGGCAACTATATTTACATACACGAAATAATTTTAGTGCTTGCAAACAGAAGCGTTTTCCCAAATGCCCTATTAATACCATCAAAGCATATTTCTGAACATGTTGAATTTGAATTTTCAAAGCAAATAATAAGTGACTGTTAAGCAACCATTCTTACTTAAAATTAGCCCTTCAATTTGTCCTGATCTGATATTAATTTAATAAAGATATCTATATACAAACTCTCGTCTGCCCAAGTAAAAGTAACACAACTTCGCAATAATAGTCCAGGCAATATAAGGTTTGACCTCAAACAAATTGCAACAGAATTTTTTTTACCACAGTGCATTTCTTTAAGGTCCCTAAAATGACATACTAAAAGTCCAAAAAAATCCAAGTGGTGGAAATATGTCTAATTTGCATAAATCCAAAATTGCCGCATATTTTAGGACTTTCACAATGATTTGGTCATATTTCTCATACTATTAGCTTCTTGAGGAACTTTAAACAATAATTTTAGTCCTTTAATTTACATTGATTTCATCATTACTCTAGTCCTAGGTAAATTTCAAGATCCCTATGTTTCCCAAATTTGCCAAATGCGG